CAGAGCAGCGGCGCCTCCTCCTCACAGCCCCCAGAGCAGCGGCGCCTCCTCCTCACAGCCCCCCAGAGCAGCGGCGCCTCCTCCTCACAGCCCCCAGAGCAGCAGCGCCTCCTCCTCACAGCCCCCCAGAGCAGCGGCGCCTCCTCCTCACAGCCCCCCAGAGCAGCGGCGCCTCCTCCTCACAGCCCCCCAGAGCAGCGGCGCCTCCTCCTCACAGCCCCCCAGAGCAGCGGCGCCTCCTCCTCACAGCCCCCCAGAGCAGCGGCGCCTCCTCCTCACTGCCCCCCAGAGCAGCGGCGCCTCCTCCTCACTGCCCCCCAGAGCAGCGGCGCCTCCCCCTCACTGCCCCCCAGAGCAGCGGCGCCTCCCCCTCACAGCCCCCCAGAGCAGCGGCGCCTCCTCCTCACAGCCCCCCAGAGCAGCGGCGCCTCCTCCTCACAGCCCCCCAGAGCAGCGGCGCCTCCTCCTCACAGCCCCCCAGAGCAACGCCGCCTCCTCCTCACTGCCCCCCAGAGCAGCGGCGCCTCCTCCTCACAGCCCCCCAGAGCAGCTGCGCCTCCTCCTCACAGCCCCCCAGAGCAGCGGCGCCTCCTCCTCACAGCCCCCCAGAGCAGCGGCGCCTCCTCCTCACAACCCCCCAGAGCAGCGGCGCCTCCTCCTCACAGCCCCCCAGAGCAACGGCGCCTCCTCCTCACTGCCCCCCAGAGCAGCGGCGCCTCCTCCTCACTGCCCCCCAGAGCAGCGGCGCCTCCTCCTCACAGCCCCCCAGAGCAGCGGCGCCTCCTCCTCACAGCCCCCCAGAGCAGCGGCGCCTCCTCCTCACAGCCCCCCAGAGCAGCGGCGCCTCCTCCTCACAGCCCCCCAGAGCAGCGGCGCCTCCTCCTCACAGCCCCCCAGAGCAGCGGCGCCTCCTCCTCACAGCCCCCCAGAGCAGCGGCGCCTCCTCCTCACTGCCCCCCAGAGCAGCGGCGCCTCCTCCTCACAGCCCCCCAGAGCAGCGGCGTCTCCTCCTCACAGCCCCCCAGAGCAACGGCGCCTCTCCCTCACAGCCCCCCAGAGCAACGGCGCCTCTCCCTCACAGCCCCCCAGAGCAGCAGTGCCTCTCCCTCACAGTCCTCCAAAGCAGTGGCGCCTCCTCCTCACAACCCCCCAGAGCAGCGGCGCCTCCTCCTCACAGCCCCCCAGAGCAACGGCGCCTCCTCCTCACTGCCCCCCAGAGCAGCGGCGCCTCCTCCTCACTGCCCCCCAGAGCAGCGGCGCCTCCTCCTCACAGCCCCCCAGAGCAGCGGCGCCTCCTCCTCACAGCCCCCCAGAGCAGCGGCGCCTCCTCCTCACAGCCCCCCAGAGCAGCGGCGCCTCCTCCTCACAGCCCCCCAGAGCAGCGGCGCCTCCTCCTCACAACCCCCCAGAGCAGCGGTGCCTCCTCCTCACAACCCCCCAGAGCAGCGGCGCCTCCTCCTCACAGCCCCCCGAGCAGCGGCGCCTCGTCCTCACAACCCCCCAGAGCAGCGGCGCCTCCTCCTCACAGCCCCCCAGAGCAGCGGCGCCTCCTCCTCACAGCCCCCCAGAGCAGCGGCGCCTCCTCCTCACTGCCCCCCAGAGCAGCGGCGCCTCCTCCTCACAGCCCCCCAGGGCAGCGGCGCCTCCTCCTCACAGCCCCCCAGAGCAGCGGCGCCTCCTCCTCACAGCCCACCAGAGCAGCGGCGCCTCCTCCTCACAACCCCCCAGAGCAGCGGCGCCTCCTCCTCACAGCCCCCCAGAGCAGCGGCGCCTCCTCCTCACAGCCCCCCCGAGCAGCGGCGCCTCCTCCTCTCAGCCCCCCAGAGCAGCGGCGCCTCCTCCTCACAGCCCCCCAGAGCAGCGGCGCCTCCTCCTCACAGCCCCCCAGAGCAGCGGCGCCTCCTCCTCACAGCCCCCCAGAGCAGCGGCGCCTCCTCCTCACTGCCCCCCAGAGCAGCGGCGCCTCCTCCTCACTGCCCTTCAGAGCAGCGGCGCCTCCCCCTCACTGCCCCCCAGAGCAGCGGCGCCTCCCCCTCACAGCCCCCCAGAGCAGCGGCGCCTCCTCCTCACAGCCCCCCAGAGCAGCGGCGCCTCCTCCTCACAGCCCCCCAGAGCAGCGGCGCCTCCTCCTCACAACCCCCCAGAGCAGCGGCGCCTCCTCCTCACAGCCCCCCAGAGCAACGCCGCCTCCTCCTCACTGCCCCCCAGAGCAGCGGCGCCTCCTCCTCACAGCACCCCAGAGCAGCTGCGCCTCCTCCTCACAGCCCCCCAGAGCAGCGGCGCCTCCTCCTCACAGCCCCCCAGAGCAGCGGCGCCTCCTCCTCACAACCCCCCAGAGCAGCGGCGCCTCCTCCTCACAACCCCCCAGAGCAGCGGCGCCTCCTCCTCACAGCCCCCCAGAGCAACGGCGCCTCCTCCTCACTGCCCCCCAGAGCAGCGGCGCCTCCTCCTCACTGCCCCCCAGAGCAGCGGCGCCTCCTCCTCACAGCCCCCCAGAGCAGCGGCGCCTCCTCCTCACAGCCCCCCAGAGCAGCGGCGCCTCCTCCTCACAGCCCCCCAGAGCAGCGGCGCCTCCTCCTCACAGCCCCCCAGAGCAGCGGCGCCTCCTCCTGACTGCCCCCCAGAGCAGCGGCGCCTCCTCCTCACAGCCCCCCAGAGCAACGGCGCCTCTCCCTCACAGCCCCCCAGAGCAACGGCGCCTCTCCCTCACAGCCCCCCAGAGCAGCAGTGCCTCTCCCTCACAGTCCTCCAAAGCAGTGGCGCCTCCTCCTCACAACCCCCCAGAGCAGCGGCGCCTCCTCCTCGCAGCCCCCCAGAGCAACGGCGCCTCCTCCTCACTGCCCCCCAGAGCAGCGGCGCCTCCTCCTCACTGCCCCCCAGAGCAGCGGCGCCTCCTCCTCACAGCCCCCCAGAGCAGCGGCGCCTCCTCCTCACAGCCCCCCAGAGCAGCGGCGCCTCCTCCTCACAGCCACCCAGAGCAGCGGCGCCTCCTCCTCACAGCCCCCCAGAGCAGCGGCGCCTCCTCCTCACAGCCCCCCAGAGCAGCGGCGCCTCCTCCTCACTGCCCCCCAGAGCAGCGGCGCCGCCTCCTCACAACCCCCCAGAGCAGCGGCGCCTCCTCCTCACAGCCCCCCAGAGCAGCGGCGCCTCCTCCTCACAGCCCCCCAGAGCAGCGGCGCCTCCTCCTCACAGCCCCCCAGAGCAGCGGCGCCTCCTCCTCACAGCCCCCCAGAGCAACGGCGCCTCCTCCTCACAACCCCCCAGAGCAGCGGCGCCTCCTCCTCACAACCCCCCAGAGCAGCGGCGCCTCCTCCTCACAGCCCCCCAGAGCAGCGGCGCCTCCTCCTCACAGCCCCCCAGAGCAGCGGCGCCTCCTCCTCACTGCCCCCCAGAGCAGCGGCGCCGCCTCCTCACAACCCCCCAGAGCAGCGGCGCCTCCTCCTCACAGCCCCCCAGAGCAGCGGCGCCTCCTCCTCACAGCCCCCCAGAGCAGCGGCGCCTCCTCCTCACAGCCCCCCAGAGCAGCGGCGCCTCCTCCTCACAGCCCCCCAGAGCAGCGGCGCCTCCTCCTCACAACCCCCCAGAGCAGCGGCGCCTCCTCCTCACAACCCCCCAGAGCAGCGGCGCCTCCTCCTCACAGCCCCCCAGAGCAGCGGCGCCTCCTCCTCACAGCCCCCCAGAGCAGCGGCGCCTCCTCCTCACTGCCCCCCAGAGCAGCGGCGCCTCCTCCTCACAGCCCCCCAGAGCAGCGGCGCCTCCTCCTCACAGCCCCCCAGAGCAGCGGCGCCTCCTCCTCACAGCCCCCCAGAGCAGCGGCGCCTCCTCCTCACAGCCCCCCAGAGCAGCGGCGCCTCCTCCTCACAGCCCCCCAGAGCAGCGGCGTCTCCTCCTCACAGCCCCCCAGAGCAACGGCGCCTCTCCCTCACAGCCCCCCAGAGCAGCGGCGCCTCTCCCTCACAGCCCCCCAGAGCAACGGCGCCTCCTCCTCACAGCCCCCCAGAGCAGCGGCGCCTCCTCCTCACAACCCCCCAGAGCAGCGGCGCCTCCTCCTCACAGCCCCCCAGAGCAGCGGCGCCTCCTCCTCACAGCCCCCCAGAGCAACGGCGCCTCCTCCTCACTGCCCCCCAGAGCAGCGGCGCCTCCTCCTCACTGCCCCCCAGAGCAGCGGCGCCTCCTCCTCACAGCCCCCCAGAGCAGCGGCGCCTCCTCCTCACAGCCCCCCAGAGCAGCGGCGCCTCCTCCTCACAGCCCCCCAGAGCAGCGGCGCCTCCTCCTCACAGCCCCCCAGAGCAGCGGTGCCTCCTCCTCACTGCCCCCCAGAGCAGCGGTGCCGCCTCCTCACAACCCCCCAGAGCAGCGGCGCCTCCTCCTCACAGCCCCCCAGAGCAGCGGCGCCTCCTCCTCACAGCTCCCCAGAGCAGCGGCGCCCTTCTCCTCACAGCCCCCCAGAGCAACGGCGCCTCCTCCTCACAACCCCCCAGAGCAGCGGCGCCTCCTCCTCACATCCCCCCAGAGCAGCGGCGCCTCCTCCTCACAGCCCCTCAGAGCAGCGGCGCCTCTCCTCACAGCCCCCCAGAGCAGCGGCGCCTCCTCCTCACAGCCCCCCAGAGCAGCGGCGCCTCCTCCTCACAGCCCCCCAGAGCAGCGGCGCCTCCTCCTCACAGCCCCCCAGAGCAGCGGCGCCTCCTCCTCACAGCCCCCCAGAGAAGCGGCGCCTCCTCCTCACAGCCCCCCAGAGCAGCGGCGTCTCCTCCTCACAGCCCCCCAGAGCAACGGCGCCTCTCCCTCACAGCCCCCCAGAGCAACGGCGCCTCTCCCTCACAGCCCCCCAGAGCAGCAGTGCCTCTCCCTCACAGTCCTCCAAAGCAGTGGCGCCTCCTCCTCACAGCCCCCCAGAGCAACGGCGCCTCTCCCTCATCTCCATCCCAAGTGCCCAAGATGAGTGTGGCTGAGCTGCACCAGCTGCTAAAACTACTCTCTCACTTGTTCCCCAGCGCCATTCATTCCCCCCTGTCCTCCCCATCCCCATCCCCATTCCTCCCTCCGCCAGGTGCTTGAGATGGACGTGAATCAGCTGCACCAGCTGCTGCTGTCTCAGCAGGTAGGGGATTGGGGACGATTTGGGAGGCGGGTGGGACGGAAGTGGGAGAGGGGGCGTGAGTGGGGGGAGGGAGCGTGAGTGGAGAGGGAGGAGGAGGGGATTTGGGGGGAGGAGGAGGGAGTTGGCAAACGGCGGGCAGCGGGTGGTGGTGGTGGATATGCGCACAGAGGAAGAGACATCGTGCCAATGATTTCTGAGTCGACTCAAAAGTCAAGGCGGGTGGTGGTGGTGGGTACTCGCACAGAGGAGGAAGCAGGGTGACTTCTGAGTCAACTCAAAGGTCACCTCGGCGGGTGGTGGTGGTGGTACTCTTCCAATTACGAGCTGCACGCAGATGGGTACCAACCGGTGAGTGTTGTCGCTCGTGAGATGCTTGAAACTGGAGGGAAGGGAGCAATTGCCTCTGCTGCCATGGATCTGCCAGTGCTGCCCTTGCGAGCAACCACGCGGGTGCACGTGTACTCTTCCAATTACGAGCTGCACGCAGATGGGTACCAACCGGGAGTGTTGTCACTCGAGAGATGCTTTGTGTGAGTTGAAACTGAAACGGGAGGGAAGGGAGCAACGGGCTCTAGCGCTGCCATGGATCTGCCAGTGCTGCCCTTGGGAGCAACCATGCGGGTGCATGTGTTCTAAACCCAAGTCATGGGCCATGTGGTGTGCCATGGGCGTCTGCCGGTTGGAGTGACTTTAGTACCGTATTATTCCGGCTATAGGACCCGCCGGTAAAAGAGTCCCCCGGGACTCTCTATAGGGTACTGGGACTCTTAATTTGGTATCAAAATGAGAGGACCCCCCTTTTGCCCCTAAACATTATAAGACCCCCCTTTTATATACTGTAGTCGTAAATGTAATTGCGCTTCAGCTTTTATAGGCGTTTTTTCGAATTCTGACACGCTGTATGTGTCAGATTTCAATTCTGACATGTTTTTGTGTGTCAGACGCGATTTCTGACACAAATCTGACGCGCCGCTCGCGTGAGATTTCCACACGAGGGGTGTTTTTCGTTACCGAATATAAGAAACCCCCCCCTTGAAACGAACATTACATGGTAAATCCCATAACATTGTTAGACAAATAAGCACACCCGGGTCTTAAAAAACTGTATGCCAACTATATGTCCACCCTAGCATTTTTTTTTGCATTTGTAGAAAGTCCCCCGGGTCCTATAGCCGGAATAATACGGTATTGCTGTGTGACCCACACCCACCTCTGTGCTGCATTAGCCCTCACAACACGTGACACAAAGCCACTGAATCTGCTGCGGATTGAGGAATAAGACATCGTGGTGTTGCCACAGAGACCTTGGATGAGCTCCGATACGAACCATGGGAGCAGCTTGCAAAAGATGGCGCGGAGGATGAGATCCATCATGTATAAGAACTGCACAAACATAGAAGTTGCACGTATTACGACATGGACGAACCAGAAGCTATAACATGAATGAAAGAGAACCAGGTGTTGACGGAACAGAAAATGTGCACGTACAGTGTAGAAGGTACTGACAGGCGCTGCAGCATCTGATAGCTCCACCAATGCGTGTCCTTCTACAACCTAAAACACCCACAACGTGACATTTAGACGTTGATTGAAAACAATGACCAGCAGGGAGGGGGGTGCATAGAGTGAATGAAAACCCATGTGACAACTGAGGGCACGGACCTGGAGAGCGGAATAACGGGAGAGAGTGCCTGCGAGGCCTGCCCTCAACTCCTCAACCTCTGGTAAATCTATACTTGCCCCTCCATCCCCACAACCAGCAGCAGCAGCGCCGTCCTTGCCCAGGGGGCGGGGGACCCTATCGTTCTCAGATACAGCCTCCCCCAGCAGCAGCCTGCCCAGCACGAGCGCGTCTGTGATGGAGGCGTTGCAGCCCTGGCCTAGAGAGGGCAGCGTGGAGTGCGCTGCATCGCCTATCAGAGCCACCTGGGCGTCACTGTCATGGTAGCGCCAGCACTTCACCTGGTGGTGGGGAAGTGGGGTGTAGAGGGGGAGGTCAAGCACGGAGAGTGTGTGTGATGAAGTGTGCTGCATCGCCTAACCGGGCCACTTGGGTGCCTGTGGCGTGGTACCGCCAGCACTACCACGAGAAACAAGAAGAGAAACGGGCAGGGGGCGAGAAAGAAAGAGTAACCCACCTGCATGCTCGTCCTTGGCTTCTGCTTCAGCAGCTTCCAGGCAGCTTCCTCAGGGACGTCCAGCCAGGGCAATCTCTCATCGAGGTAGTGCTTGGCAGCAGCCGGGGAGGCGAGGGAGAGCCAGTCCAGGGGCGGGTCGGTGGACTTCCACCCCCACACCAGACACATCTCGCCGCCCACCTGCGGTATTGCCACCGCACCGATGTTTTTCGTGTTGGGGACCTGTTGAAGGGGGGAGTGAGATGGGAGAAAGATGTGGGAGCGAGAGGTGGGAGGGGGAGGTGGGAGTGAGAGGTGGGATTAAGAGGGAAGTGGGAAGGAGGGATAAATTAAGTTAAAGACAGTCACAAGTGATGGAGGGAGGGGATTTCTCAGCATGGAATGGAGTGAGAGAAGCACAGTTGCAAAGAATCGAACACATACCTTGGCAGGCACTATATTCAATCTCTGAGCTGTCACAAAGACACACCTTGGCAGCAAAGAAGAGTGAGGAGGGCGTGAGGGAGGGTGGCACGGGCATGTTGACGACTGTCCAGTCGTGATACACTCGGTCCGTGTGGACGGGGAAGTCCCAGGTGCGTGCTGCTAGCAGGTTGCGCACATACGAGCGCACCCCATCCGCACCCACCTGATGGGGGAGGAAAGAGAAAGGAATGAGGGGAAGAGCGGGCGTGAGGTGCGTGCAGCTAGGATGCTTCTCACGTTGGAACAAACCCCATCCGCCCCCACCTGTTGGCGAGGAAACAGAAAGTGGAGAGGCGGGGAGGGGCGGACGGGCACGTCAAGAAACCACCTTTCCCTCACTCAAATTTCCTCTCACTCTCTCTCCCACTCTCTCACTCATCCCAACTCCCAATCTTTCTTTCACTCCATCACTTTATCCATCTCCCACTCACCAGAAGGTCATATTTGATCTCAACGTTTTTCAAACCAGTGCCACCTCCCGCACTGCTGCTGTCACTACCGTTGCTGCTCCCACCGTTGCTGCTCCCTCCACTGCTGCTCCCACCACTGCTGCTCCCACCACTGCTAGAACCTGCACTGCTGCTGCTGGTGCTGCCGTTGCTGCTACTGCTGCCACTGTTGCTGCTGTCTCCACTGCCACTGCCACTGCTGCAAGGCACAGAAGCAGTGACCACGTGGCCCTTCATATCCACATCCAAAATCCTTGACTCAAAATACACTGCCAGGTGCTTGCTCAGGTGTTTCTTCAGGTGCTTCTGTTCCTCAGCACAAGCCTTCTCCCTATCCTCATCAGAAATTCCTTCACCTGCGGTCGCAGGTTTGTCCCCTTTAGTGGCTCTATCGATAAGAGCGTCAAGCAGAGAAGCACACAGGTCCGTGCGAGAGACGAGGCCTTGAGGGGGGTCCTGGAAACAAGGAAGGGACCAGCCACACGAAGACGAGGGGCAGTGGGTGGTGAATCTATATTTGAGGCGCCTCAAAAGCGAACAAGGAGGGACCAGCCACAGGCAGGGATGCAGGGGCTGGGCGTTGGTTTGGGAAGAAGTGGGGGAGGAGGGAAAGGGAGCTCGGAACTCTAGCAAGAGGAGGATAATGAAGCGATTAAAAGGGAAAGAAAGATAGAAACAATGACCAATACAGAAGTTTTTTTAGCAGCCTAAAAAAAAAACCCGCCTTGGGCACTGAGAATCTGATGAGGCGGCCGAAGGCAGGCATGACCATCTCGTGAGGATTCACCAGCACTGGCTGCACCTGCACACGTGGCAAGAGGCGATTGGAGGAGGTTCAGGGGGTCTCATAGCTTGCTGCGCCTGCTGGCGTGCGGGTGGGATATGCCATGGAAGGAGGCATAGGGAGGATAAGGAAGAAATTGAAAGGGAGAGGTGATAGTTTCGAATGTGTGCGCACCACACACCTCACCCAGCACACACCTCGCCCAGCACACACCTCACCCAGCACACACCTCACCCAGCACACACCTCACCCAGCACACACCTCACCCAGCACACACCTCACCCAGCACACACCTCACCCAGCACACACCTCACCCAGCACACACCTCACCCAGCACACACCTCACCCAGCACACACCTCACCCAGCACACACCTCACCCAGCACACACCTCACCCAGCACACACCTCACCCAGCACACACTGGACTGTGTAACCCACCTTGTGCATGACTCCCGGAATGGCCATCAGACAGTGTATCCCGCGAGCTGACTTTTGAGTCGACTCAAAAGTCACCACACACCTCACCCAGAACCCACCTCACTCTGCAGGCAGTGCATTCCACGAATGCTCAGCCCCATGGCGTACCTGCCGCCCGCCCTCTCTGCACCCACCTCAACCATCACCCCTCTCTGACATCCCATGCTCCAGTACCCACCTCACTCCACAACCCACCTTGTCCATAACCCCAGGAATGGCCATCAGGCAGTGCATCCCGCGAATGCTCAGCCCCATGGCGTACCTGCCGCCATTCACGGGGGATTCGGGAGCAAGGGGGGGAGGGAGCGGATGGGGGGAGAATTAGGGGGATACGACGAGCGGAAAGGGGAATGAAGACTGGCGCATAGGGGAAAAATGTATTTCGGGCAAAGCTACTCAAATTCTGCATGGTCTCATTCCCGCACCCGCTTCCCGCCTCCCAGCCTCCTCTGCCCCCACCTTTCCTCCCTTTCGTTCCCCTCTTTCGCCCCCTCCCCCTCCGCCCCCCACCCCTCGTTTCCCCTTCCCGCGTTCCCCTTTCCCCCCTCCCCACTCTCCTTCCCCCCCTCACCGGCGCGCGATCTCCGCCGCCTCTTCGACCTCCGCGCGCGGATCCACGCCCTTCTCAATCACGCTGACGTGGAACCTGCCGCCGCCACGTGCCAGCAGGTAATTCGCCAACGCCAGGCCCGCCGGCCCCGCGCCGACAATCACCACGCGGAAGACGTCAGCGCCCTCCGCTTCCCCCGAGACGGCGCGCGCGCTGCCGTCGGCGCTGAGCGGATCGCTGGGGCATTCGCGCTCCGTGCTCATGGTCGCTCACTCAAACTTAGGAATTTCGAGTCGAAGTTCACGGGCAGGTGATCAGCCGGCGCGGCGTCAAAGCCCAACACTTTCAAAGCGCGGGACGAAACACGGGCAGACCAACAAATTTCTGTAGTACCCGCCGACAATGGGGGAGCCTGTGGGGAGAGTCACACGCGCCGCCGCCAATCCCGCTGCCTTCTCTCCTCTACAGTTACACTGTCACTGAAATCATACTCCGGCTCTTCAAGGAGCAGGTCTTTCTTTCATGCATGGAGTTCCCAAGGTGGTGCCGAAACCGTGCCAATCAGTCACCACTGAACGCACGTCATCCGAGCCTAGCCTTGCGCTCTGGCAGGAAAGGGAACGGCTGAGAGCCGTACGTTTTGTGAAGCCATGGCACCACGTGACCCGGAAGTTAGCGCCGGCCCTTGACCTTCGGACCGTTCGTTCGGCTCGGCTCGACACCTCACAGCATTCTTGAAAGCAGCGTGGTGCCGTGCCGAATCAGCACATGGCAATTGCCCATTGGCCATCCAATCGGTACATGTATTATCATTTGTACGCTACAAACGCTAATCCTTTGAGGGTGGTACTTTCACTGTATACATCGTCCACATTTTCTTCCTATTCCAGCTTTTGCCTTTATGCATGCCATGAATAATTTATGTAAGTTCTGAAGTAACTTCATCCCAGTTAGTAGGTGCAACGCCATAATCATGGCGTCCGCGACTTTAGCCGCAACAGCGGCCTCAACGGCCACTCTCTCCGACGGGAAGAAGCGGGTTCTCTTAAGCAGCAGTGACAATGCCTGCAATCCCGCGTTCGTCGCTCATGTCGGCCGTACATTGAACATTCCCGCGCTTAGAATAACGCCGCGTCGCGTCGCTGGCCAGGTGTCCGCGTCAGCCGATCGGACGGTCGTCGCGGCCGCCACGTCACCGGCCGGCGAAGCGCCAGTCAGAGCGCTCGTTTTCGACTGCGACGGGGTGATCCTAGAGTCTGAGGACCTCCATCGGCGCGCTTATAACGCGGCGTTCGCGCATTTCGCGATTCGGTGCCCGGGAGAGAAGGCGGTCGTTGATTGGACGACGGAGTTTTACGATGTGCTGCAGAATAAGATCGGCGGCGGGAAACCCAAGATGCGATGGTGTGTGCGCGCCCGACTGAATTTAGCCTAGTAATTGCCTCCACATAACTCCGCACCGCCGCTTCCTTAACCCGTATCACATATCCCCTATCCTTATCCCCATCCCATTCCAATCCGTTCCATTTTACATTTCATTCATTACATTCTATTCCATGGTATGCTGACATCAGATTCATGTCCGAAAATCACCACACTCTACCTGCAGGTACTTCAACAAGAATGGGTGGCCTCATTCGTCGTTTCTCCCCGCCCCTCCCGCCACGGATGCTGAAAAGGACGTGCTTATAGACACGCTGCAGGTGATACCTTGTGCAGGTGATACCTAGTGCAGGTGATACACGGTGCAGTGCAGGTGATACCTTTTGCAGGTGATGCCTTGTACAGGTGATGCCTTGTACAGGTGATGCCTTGTACAGGTGATGCCTTGTACAGGTGATGCCTTGTGCAGGTGATACCCGGTGCAGGTGATACCCGGTGCAGGTGATACCTAGTGCAGGTGATACACGGTGCAGTGCAGGTGATACCCGGTGCATGCTTGCCCCTACCAGAATGTCTTATAGTCGATTCAAATGCTGCATCTCACTCCGTGGCCCTCGTACGGTCCCTCGTGTTTCTCACTGCGTGCTTTCTTGCTCCCACCCACCACGCATGCTGCCACCAGGATTGGAAGACGGAGAAATACCAGCAAATGATTGGATCCGGGCAGGTGAGCAAATGATTGGATCCGGGCAGGTGAGCAGATGATTGGATCCGGGCAGGTGAGAAGCTGTGCAGGTTGGGGCAGGTGTGTGCATGACTGTTGACAAGCCTAAAGAACCAACTTAGAGAATCTTGCGTTGTTTCCGACAGGTGTTTTGGTTACTGTATATGCCTCTAACCATGGAAACGCTTTTGACCAATTTGTGATTATCCCGCTCTTTCCTGCTCTCTTCTTCCCTCCCTCCATTCCTCCCTTTCCTCTGCCCTCTCCCCATTCCTGCAGGTGCCAGTGCGGCCAGGCGTGTTAGAGCTGATGGATGAAGCTAGACAGAGGGTAGGTGGAGGGAGGGGGGGAGAGGGAAGAGGGAAGCGCATGTGGGGTGGGGGAGGAGGGGAATTAGCACGTTGGGAAGGTGGGGGAGAGAACAAGAGAAAGAGGGTGTGGAGATCTGTTCTGCACGAAGCAACGTGAATTTTTTGTAGCATTGACGCTTGACCCTCCCTGTCTGCCTGTCCCGCTGTGTGGTTCACTCACTTCTTCCCACTCCCGCCCACGTCTCCTTGTGTTGCTTCCATTTCTCGAGACGTCTCAAATCCCTTCGCGTAATTTTTTTTTTTTATCCCCCATCCACCTGCCTTTCGAGGCATCTCAAAAGCGTCGTGCAAATGTTGTTGCAAAACCCTTCCGTCGATCCACCCCGCTCTGCTTCTCGCCACTCCCCTGCTTTCTCTTTACCTGCCAATCCCCCCTTCCCTCCCCCCTCCTTCCTCCTCCATCCAACCCCCCTTCACCCCACCTCCCTCGTCACCCCCACCTCCTCATCGTCCAGGGTCTGCTGGTGGCGGTGTGTTCTGCAGCCACCAAGAGCTCAGTCGTTTTCACTCTCACCAGCCTGCTGGGGAAGGTACTGCGCACCACCCACCGCCCACAACCCACCTCGCACTCTCACGTTCCATTCAGATCTCCGTTTTTCCTGCTTCTCCTATCGTTCTTTCTTCTGTGTCGCTCTCAGCATCCTTTTCCTATGCTCCCCCCTCCCATGCTCCCTCCCTCCTGCTCTCTCCCCGCTGCTTCCCGCCATCCTCCTGCACCCTGCAGGAGAGGTTTGAGCGATTGGATTGCTTCTTGGCAGGTGGGCCTCCTTCGCCTTCCCCGCATCTGCTTCCTTTGCCACCCATCTGCTTCCCTTGCCGCCCATTTGCTTCCTTTGCCACCCATCTGCTTCCCTTGCCGCCCATTTGCTTCCTTTGCCACCCATCTGCTTCCCTTGCCGCCCATTTGCTTCCTTTGCCACCCATCTGCTTCCCTTGCCGCCCATTTGCTTCCTTTGCCACCCATCTGCTTCCCTTGCCGCCCATTTGCTTCCTTTGCCACCCATCTGCTTCCCTTGCCGCCCATTTGCTTCCTTTGCCACCCATCTGCTTCCCTTGCCGCCCATTTGCTTCCTTTGCCACCCATCTGCTTCCCTTGCCGCCCATTTGCTTCCTTTGCCACCCATCTGCTTCCTTTGCCACCCATCTGCTTCCCTTGCCGCCCATCTGCTTCCTTTGCCACCCATCTGCTTCCTTTGCCACCCATCTGCTTCCCTTGCCGCCCATTTGCTTCCTTTGCCGCCTTTTACCACCCTTCGCTGCCACTCCACTTGCAGTTGTTATCCCACCTTAACAAAAGCGGACAGATAGTGGGCAGAGGAGGTGATCACCCCTCGCGAAACTCAAGTACCGCTCTCGACCCCCAATTGTTCTGGAAACGCCTTGGGGATCATCACACCATCCACATCCATCTCAGAGATGCCTCCCCATCCGTCCACCCTTATTTCTCGTCCTCCTCCTCCCCGGCTGCTCTCCTCATCTCTCTGCCACGCCCTGCCACCAGGCGACGACGTGCCAAAGAAGAAGCCAGACCCCACCATTTACAAGATCGCCGCGCAGGTGAGCCCAGCTTGTACCGGAAAGCAATGGATCATGGTGGTCAAAGTGGCGTGACATGACATATCCCCCTCTCGTTGCGCATTCACTTCGTTCGGAACTCGTCGCCTGGGAGTGTCCCCCTCGTCGTGCGTGGTGGTGCAGGAGAGTGTGATTGTCCTACATGCAGCGTACCTTTCACTGCTCACAACCCTCGCATTACTCATTCCTCCCTAACATTCCTCGCTTATTTCTGTGCCTCCTGCGTCACAGCGCCTGGGAGTGCCCCCCACTGCGTGCCTGGTGGTGAAGGACAGTGTGACTGGCCTGCAGGCTGCTGGCCTCTCAATGCTCGTACTCCCGGCTCATACATACCCCCCGCTCATTGCTCATTCCCCTCTTTCGCTCCCTCTCAGCGCCTGGGAGTGCCCCCCTCATCGTGCCTGGTGGTGGAGGACAGTGTGATTGGCCTGCATGCAACGTCCCTCTCATGTCTCAGTAACCTGCTCATTGCTCATTCCCCCCTCTCGCTCGCTCCCTTCAGCGTCTGGGAGTGCCCCCCTCGTCGTGCCTGGTGGTGGAGGACAGTGTGATTGGCCTGCAGGCTGCTCTGGGAGCCGGCATGCTGTGTGTCATCACCTACACGCCTTCCACCAAGAGCCAGGTCAGCTCAGTGCTCTCTTCTCTTCTTCACCTCTGGTTGCCTGCATGTGGTATGTGCTATCATTTACACACTACCATCGAGAGTCAAGGTCAGCTTCACTCTCTGATTCGCCTCGCCTGGTTCTGTGGTGAGTAGGTTGTGTACCAACACTCACATGCCATCCATCACGAGTCAGGTGAGCTTTGCTCTTCTTCTTTGCCTGTTTCTTTGTTCAGGTACTTCAGGTTTGTGCTGCACACATTATTCTGTATAGAAACAGGTTGCTACAATCTGAATTATTTCTGCCCCCTCTCTTCCCCCCACTCTCCTCTCTCCCCCCCACTCTCCTCTCTTTCCCCCCTCTCTCCTCTCTTCCCCCCCTCTCTCCTCTCTTCCCCCCCTCTCTCCTCTCTTCCCCCCTCCATCTTGTAGGATTTCACTGGGGCTGTAACTGCGTTTGATGATCTTGGTGGAGTTTCTTTGGATAAGCTCATTAGTGCATGCTCTGCTGTTGTCTCCTGAAAGTACCACCACTACCATTTGTAAATTAGTACCGTACAATAAATCTCTATTTGAACACCTTTGGTGGGGATCTCCACTCCGATAACTAACATGCTAGGTTGAAGCATGGGTTGAACTAAAGAGCGAACGTGCTGAATGTACAGAAGAGCAGGTTTGTTGGTGCAGCGTGCAGAAAAGCCTTCAAGATGTGGAGGCACCACCATGAGACACCTTCAGCGCCAGTGGTTGCACAGCGAACACTCCGCTTGCCCTCCCTCCAGGAGCCACAATGGTTCCATAGTAAGACTCTGGGAAAGCCATCAGCCCCCTGAACACATCAGCGACAGTCATTCCTGCCTCGGCAGCAACGCTCCCTGCATCATAGCACCATCCCGAGGAAGTGTATTTATATAGCAGGCCCATCCTCCTCGCATCCCCTTGCTTTTTCCAACCATGGTCGAACGGGGGACTGTTTGTCACATTAGACCAAGTCTTTGCCGGGAAATTTACCACCGGGGCGTTGGACCTGGCAGTGACAATGCCAGCAGCGGTCGGGAACCCCTGGACGCTCAATCCAGTCAAGCGGAGAGAGTAACGAATGTTCACGCTGGTGGTATTGCGGAAAACGAATACGCGGATGACACCGCTGATATCCTCAACGCCTCGCAGTCTTGCCTCCACATGACCTGTCAAGGAACGAGTCCAATGTTCGACAGGGTAAGTTTAATAAATAGTGGTTTAGTGGTGGCAACACGCGTTGATGGTGGTGGTCGGTGGCGCTTACCCTCGTAGTTTCCAACGTGGATTGCATTTCTTGTGCTTCCTGGGTTGACTACTATTCCTGTCAGCGTCTGGGGACCAGTTAACTTAGCAGCAGCATCGTCCAGCACGCGGAGCCCCTCTGTAAGGACACAAACAAAATTATCGAAATTAATGCGAGGTCTCTAAGAATGCAGATAGGGATTCGGTGGAATGGCTCTGACGACTTTCTAGGTTCGGATATGATCTTGTACTTAGGTCGTTGAATCCGTTCTCACCTGCTATGGATGCATAAAGCACGAGGAACAACCCGAAGGCGAAACGAGGTGTCCGCAGCCTCATGATAGAGGGTCGTTCGTGACGGGAAGGTGAAAGGTAGGTAATCGAATCGAGCGCTCCAGGCTTCTAAACGAACTTCAAATGCTCGGACTCGGATGTTAAATCCGTCTGGCACCAGCCTTCAGCCATCAAGGGCGGCGTTAACGCTAGAGTACCACCTGGTGCCATGGAGCCATGCCACAAAGCAGTTCTGGAACGCGTAAGATGCGCCATGACCAGTCAGAAGCTTGCTTTCACGCATTGTTGGCGACTGGTTGCTTGCGCGGGAGTCGCGGCTCTCAGAACGCGATTAGGCCCCTGGAATGGGAGATTCGGAAATACGAATGGGCAATAGAGTTTTGAGACATATGCTAAACGGTACTGAACGGTGTAGTGGTATTCTTGCTCTGTCCTTCCTTCAACCCCTCTGGGTGGTTCGCGTCTGAGCCGCCTCCACCAATCAACAATTGCTTGACTGTCGCTCACTTGGCAGCTTCCGGAATTATTGGCGAGCACACGACGCGGACAGGGGACCTTCCCACGATTACTGGTGGGGTTTGACTGGCAACTGTGATTTCTGCCGTGACCCGTCTCTTGTCCTTGACGGTTTGTGGGCCTCGCAGGCAAGTTACCAGCCAAATATGGAAGATTCGCCGGTCTGGAACGACATGAGGTTTGAGAAACGAAGAATTCGTGAGCGATGACAATGAGCGATGCTTGGTTACCGGATTTCAGGAAATTGGCCTGATATGGCGTACGAGGAGGGAAAATGCGGAACGACTATTCATGTTCCCCGTGGAGGTACAGCTGATAAGGGTATAAATTACTTGCACTTGTGTGGTAGCTTGAAGGTACCACCACCATAATACATCTTCTTTAAGAATGTTGTTATTCTTGGCAAAACTTATGAAGCATGAACAGCACTAAGATGAGGCTCTGATCGAGCTGCCGTGGTATGTACAGAACAGCATGTAGTGGGTCCAGTGAACCGGATGCAGAAAAGCCTTCAAGATGAGGGGCCAACATGAGACACCTTATCTGCCAGTGGTTGCACAAACACACCCCTTGCCCTCCCTCCAGGAGCCACAATAGTTCCATAATAAGATTCCGGGGAAGCCATCAGCCCCCTGATAACATCAGCGACGGTCATTCCTGCTTCTGCAAGAACACTCCCTGCATTATAGCACCATCCGGCTGAAGTGTACTTATAGAGCAGGCCCATCCTCCTCGCATTGCCCTGCTTTATCCAACCAAGGTCGAACGGGGGACTATTTGTCACATTAGACCAACTGTTCGAGGGGAAATAAATCACGGGGGCTTTAGAGCTGGTAGAGACGATCCCAGCAACAGTCGGGAAACCCTGAACGCTCAATCCGGTCAAGCGGAGCGAGTAACGAATGTTCACGCTGGTGGTATTGCGGAAAACGACGATGCGGATACCACCCCTGATATCGCCAACGCCTCTCATTGTCGCCTCTGCATGACCTGTCATGGAACGAGTTCAATGTTTGGGAGGGAAAGGATAAAACATGCGGTTCAGCCTGGCACGTCGTTTGGATGAAAAGTAACCGAAATGTGTCATTGTCATGATGGCGTCTAGAGTTGATGGCGATGGTAGTATCGCTTACCCTGGTAACTTCCACGTGAATCTCTTGAACGGGCAGCCCTTGTTCGTGATGCAAGAATCCCGGCGTTAATAGATTCTGTCGGTGTTTGAGGATCACTTAGCTGAGCAGCGACATCGTCCAGCATGCGTACGCCCTCTGTAAGGACACATAAAGCATTGGCGAAGTTAATTTGAGGCCATTAAAACATGCAGATTCTGGGGAATAAGCTTCTATTTCAGACGTCGGATTGGTCCTCACCTGCTATGGATGCGTAAACGAAGAGCAGCAACCAGACGGCGAAACAAGGTGTATGAAGCTTCATGATGGTTGTTCTTCTCTAAGTCAATCAACTCGATGGGGCAGATAAGCGTTAAAAGCTGTGGCAGATAAGCAACGAAAGCGATTGAGCGACGTTCAAATGATCGAATAGGGAATGCTAAATTCGTCCGACACCCGCTTTCCGCCATCGACAGCGTGATTGCCGCTTTTCAACCATGCCGCACAGCAGCTCTGGAACTCGCAAAACGCGCCATAACCACTCAGGGCCTTGCTCCCATAATATTGTCGGCGCGAGGAAGTTTTACTGCGTGCGAGTCGCAGGCGCTGAGTCGCCGCCACCACCAGTCTTCCCACAGGCGCGTCTGCCGCACAGCTGGCAGCGGCCATGATAGTTGACAAGTGCATTGGCAGTATTATGATAAGGAAGAACCGCCCCACCGTCCTTGTTGTGGTTTGACTGGCAACCGTGAACTTTGCCGTGACCAGTTTGTTCTCCTTGACGGATTGTAGGCCTCACAGGCATGTTACAAGTGCAACCAGACGTTTGTTGGTCTGCGACGGAATCTAGCTCACGAGCGATGACGAGTCCAACGACGATACATGGTTACCGCACTAGAGGAAGCTGACAATGTGGTGCGTGTGCAGCCAAAACAGTTGGGGTTGGAAGCATATGCAGCAACGTGGTGCGTGTGGAAAATCCGACTTCAGGCACGAACGAGCAGTGTGCCAGTGGCAGAGCTTGTTCCTCCCAACGTCGAGTTCTCAACAGAGGCATAAACCAGCTGGCTGGTTTGCATTGGATGGTTCGACCCTTTTTGTTTTCGTTGGGCTGTTGCCGAGCATTCACGATTGAAAAACTCGTTACACATTTATAGGAAGAAAATGTTGCTAACACTGCAAGCACAAACACAAATGCATTTCTTGGCATCAACTTGAGATAAATGCAGTAAGTTTCGCACCCACTCCAGGCTTAGCATCTGACTGGCGAAAAGGTGCAAAACTTATAGCAATACATCCCTAACTCACCCATTCCACATGCAAATCTCTAACGCCATGTGTGGAACTTGCTAGAAGCAACGCCACCAGGAGCAGTGATGCGGCCACTATAAGCTGCAGGAGCTGCAACCATGGCCACAGCAATAGACCCAATAGTCTTGCCGCCATCAGTAGTCTTTGTGTTCGCGTTGTAATAAACCCCGGTCGCATTGTAACGGAAACACACACCAAAGACCCATGCACGGTTGCGCCTCCTCCAGCCGTAGCCATAAGGCTGCTGGCCAGTGGTGTTGGTCCACGTGGCATCTGGGAAATCAAGGACAGCGTTGCCGTTACTATTCAGGACGGCGGCAGCGGTAGGAAGACCTGGGGTTGGCAGGCCGCCAATCCTCAGCACGTAACGGACATTGTAGTCGGTGTTGTTCCTGATCAACACATCAAAAGCACAAATCACAAGAACACGTTTCAATGACACGTTGAAAATCGTACAAGAACGGAGAAATCAAGAAGCCAAAAGTGCTTCATTGCAATCATAATATGCTGAATGTATGCTCATGAACAGTACTCACTTGAAGACAACAACGTGCATGCGTCCAGTGATGTTGCCGTTGCCCGTCAGATCGGCCTCCACGTGGCCGTAAAACGTTCCCAGCGCGGCGCCAGGACCCAGCCCGAGGCCCCCACCGGGTCCCCGTCCGAGCCCGCCGCCCCTGCCCCCTCCGCGCCCTCCGCCAAATCCCCGTCCTCCGCGCCCTCCGCCGCCCCTGCCGCCACCATAGCCGGGTCCCTGGGCGAGAACCCCTGAAACCAAAAAGAAGAGAAATACAGCGGCGAGGTCCTGACAATGGTTTTTACAATATACTATTTTGCACGCGATGCCGTATTGCCGAGCACTTGAGATGCAAGGAGAAAGGGTCGCGCCGTTGGAGCTTTACCTGATGCGACGAGGCTGAGGAGCGCGACGATTACCACAGCCTTGTTAATACGTGCCATCTTCGCGAAAAAGGATTATCGTATTTCGAGCCGCTAGGAAAATGTTTGTTCAGTGCACAAACAGAGATACCCGTGAAGACTCAAGTTGCTTTAGAAAGTCGCTGCGTGTTGGTCTAGGTACCAAGTAGGAACCACATACGCCACTATAAGTACGAAGCGTCCATTCTAGACTCATGGTGCTTCTCGTTGGGGAAGGTAGATACGATCGAAAAGAAGTTATGCCAGCAATGCAACAAGTCACGGAAAGCGGGGCTGAAATTACCACCAGACTGGCTTTCTCCACTGTGAAAGGTTTACCTGCAAGGTTTGCTTTTCCAGCGCAGGGGGTATGGGGGGGTGTCAGTTGAGGCGTGCTTTCTCGAGAAATTTGCAATGTCGAAAAACGTTTTCACGATCACTGGATGCTAGTCTGGACGGCTCCGATTTCTCATCCAGAGAGCAGTGCGGTTCGGCGAAGAATGGTTTTTGCTTCTGGCTTGCCTGCAAAGCTTTTCGTGCTAGAGGAACTTCTCGCGAAAGCGCCATTGTGAGAAAATGGGCGTCCCTGTTACCTAGCCCGCTCTTTACAAGGCTCCCTCACAAACAGACTGAACACCTTCAGCATACCATAGACCACTAACAACCTTAAAAAATCAAGCTAAGCTGTCCGAAATCCAGGGCCAAGACCATAGCTATCTGATATGGCCTTAAGCATGGTGACGACATCATCAGTGGTTGCAAGCGAGTATCGCGCCAAAGACCGCTTGCGCCCCACAGCACATGAAAAGTACGAATCGGCATTGAGATCGACAATGGGGCAATACTCCCCACTGCTGCGATGGCTTATTTCCTCCCCATGCCCATCCTCCTCAGAGTCCAAAACAGTTGGAAGCATCGAGGAGATCTCCTGTGTGGAAAACCCTGACTCCTCTGAAACTCCTGTCGTCCCTGAATGGCTTGAAAAGCTCGACAGGTTGGAAAACCCAGTGATCGGCGCAAGCAATCTCTCTCCCGCCTCCGCTCCATTTGCCTCCTCTCGCCTTCCACTCCCGTTCCCCACGCCCTGAGTCCCAGCAGCATTGCTTGCAGCTGGGGAACATAGCTCCGCCTCCCCCCGCCCACCACTACTGCTCCGCCCCATGCCGGTTTTTCTCGGGCTGCCCGTGGCGCCTTCCAAAGCTGACCCGAGAAGACTGACCAGCGACGGCGAGGAGAAGGAAAAGGCAGATTTCTTTTCTGACTTCTTGCCCCCTTTCCATCGGAACCGTCCCAGCCCGCCCCCTCGGCTCCTTCCACTGCTGCTCCCACCCGCCCCCGCTGCCCCTGTCCCTGCTCCTGCTCCTGCACCTACCCCCCCTGGTGCTGCTCTTCCCTCCGACCCTACTGCTGCATCTCCATCGTTGCCCCCTCCGCCCCCTCGGGACTCCGCCTTAAGCCGGCTGCTGCGTGCCGTGACAGAGTCAGGAGTGTGGGGCCGTGGAGAGGTGTCAGAGAGAGCAGCAGCGGCAGCATTGGCAGCAGAGAAAGAGGGAGAGGGGGAGCTGGGACCAGCAGCAACCGAAGCACCAGCGGCAGCTGCTGAGGTAGCAACAGCAGCAGCGGCAGCGGCAGCAGCAGCAGCGGCGGCGGCGGCGGCAGGGGCAGCACCACCATCCCTCCCAGCGTGTCTCCCCCCACCCTCCATTTGGTTTCTGCTCTGCGGATCCCCAAAGATCACCCGTGCCACCAGCGGCCCCGAACCTCCCCCCCGAGCCGCGGACTGAGGCACGGGGCTGCCGTATCCTGGTCCGGCAAACATAGGCAGCGGCACCGAACCTAGACTATCAGGTCCGGGAACGCTCGGAGGCGGTGCGGGAGGGAGGCCCGGGGGAGGCTTGGTGTCAGGAGGGGAGTTGGAGCGATTGTGAGGAGCGGTGAGAGTGCTTGTAGCGGTTGTGCTTGTATTGAACGTGGTTGTAGGACTGGTAGTGTAATACTCTGGTAGGTACGAATCAGCATGCTCAAGAGCCGTGATATGATCCCTCGTGACTTGATCCATGGCTGCCCCGTCCAAGGGCCCATGACCCATGGTTACCATGTTACCATCCATGGATACACCGCAGTTACCATCCATGGGACCCATGGTGCCATCCATGCTCTGCTGGTAACCGTCCATGCCGGGGGGCATGTTGCTGTCATGCGGCAAGTCTGGCTCAAAGAACTGGTATATGTCCTCGTCCTGTTGGGGGGCGGGGGAAGAGGGGAGGGGAAAGAGGGTGGGAAGAGGGGTTGAGGCGTCTAGAAGGTCGAGTTTGGTGTTGAAAACCGCTATATGTCCTGGTCCTGTTGGTGGTGAGTGGGAAGGAAAGACAGGGGGGGGTTACAAGGGTAAAAGAGCGTGAAAAGCAGAGGACGAAGTTAAAGCCCCAGGTCGCAGTTGACTCACCCGTGAGAGGAAGTGGCCGACGGTCATGACGAAGTCAAAGGGGCAGGGCAGCGGCTTCTGGTGCACTATCTCCCCCAACACCCTCTCCATGGCCGCTCCCTTGCTCACCCCCACTGGCCGCACCTCCACTGACTTGCCTCCCTGTGAGGGGAAGGAGGGTGGGTACGGGCAAAGCATGTTACTGAGTCAACTCAACAGGGATGGGAAGGGGGAGAGCACAGGACGGGGTAAACCTCACGATCTCCCCCGACACCCTCTTCTTGGCTGCTCCCTTGCTCACCCCCACCGGCCGCACCTCCACTGACTTGCCTCCCTGAGGGAGGGCGACGGGAAAAGGAGGAGGTGTGGAGGGGGAGAGGATGCTACATAAAAAAATATTGGGTCACGATGCGTGTTTGGCGACATAAGCTTCACGTACGGAACCTGCCCACCACGTACTGGAATCAGATTACAACCTTCCACTCGCGTCCTTTGTAATCTCTACTCACTTTCCCCGCTCTTCGACTTTGTCTTCCATCACGTCTGTTCCGCCATCTCCACGATTTACTCCACCCTGTTAATTGGGGCCAGTTCACAGGGGGTGTGAACAGGTACTGCAGCATGTCGCGGGCCTGCACGCGACAGCACCTGCACCGAGTGCTACCTGCACCGAGTGCTACCTGCACCGAGTGCTACCTGCACCAGGCCGTACCTGAACAACGTCGACAGCTGTGTTGGAAATCGGTCCCGTCCACAGGTGCTGCAGCATGTCTCTGGCCTGTACGCGGCCAAACTCCACGTCGGCATACTTGTAGTTCCACACCAGAGAGGTCTCCCTCTCCTCCACGTATGACCGCGGCGTGCGCTCCGTGAAATACTCAAACACCAACTGGGGTGATGATCAGGGCAGGGGGCGGAGGGAAAGGGGATGGTGAAGATGCAGGAAGAATGGCCTTTCCACATCAGAGACCTCCCTCTCCTCTCCTCCATGTACGACCGCGGCGTGCGCTCCGTGAAATACCCAAACACCAACTGAGGCGACGAGGATAGGAAAGGCCGGAGGGGGGGGGGGGGGGGGGGGGGAGGAGGGGATGGGGGATGTGGGGGATACACTCTATCTTTCCGCACAAGAGACGTCTCCCGCTCGCACACGTACGACCGCGGTGTGCGCTCCATGAAATGCTCGAATGAAATCCAAACATCAAACGCGCGCCTTGGTCCACGCGCGCGCCATGGTCCGGGCGCGCGCCTTGGTCCGGGCGCGCGCCTTGGTCCGGGCGCGCGCGCCTTGGTCCGGGCGCGCACGCCTTGGTCCGGGCGCGCGCCTTGGTCCGGGCGCGCGCCTTGGTCCGGGCGCGCGCCTTGGTCCGGGCGCGCGCCTTGGTCCGGGGCGCGCGCCTTGGTCCGGGGCGCGCGCCTTGGTCCGGGCGCGCGCCTTGGTCCGGGGCGCGCGCCTTGGTCCGGGCGCGCGCCTTGGTCCGGGCGCGCGCCTTGGTCCGGGCGCGCGCCTTGGTCCGGGCGCGCGCCTTGGTCCGGGCGCGCGCCTTGGTCCGGGGCGCGCGCCTTGGTCCGGGCGCGCGCCTTGGTCCGGGCGCGCGCCTTGGTCCGGGAGCGCGCCTTGGTCCGGGCGCGCGCCTTGGTCGGGGCGCGCGCCTTGGTCCGGGCGCGCGCCTTGGTCCGGGCGCGCGCCTTGGTCCGGGCGCGCGCCTTGGTCCGGGGCGCGCGCCTTGGTCCGGGGCGCGCGCCTTGGTCCGGGCGCGCGCCTTGGTCCGGGCGCGCGCCTTGGTCCGGGCGCGCGCCTTGGTCCGGGCGCGCGCCTTGGTCCGGGCGCGCGCCTTGGTCCGGGCGCGCGCCTTGGTCCGGGGCGCGCGCCTTGGTCCGGGCGCGCGCCTTGGTCCGGGCGCGCGCCTTGGTCCGGGCGCGCGCCTTGGTCCGGGCGCGCGCCTTGGTCCGGGCGCGCGCCTTGGTCCGGGCGCGCGCCTTGGTCCGGGCGCGCGCCTTGGTCCGGGCGCCGCCTTGGTCCGGGCGCGCGCCTTGGTCCGGGCGCGCGCCTTGGTCCGGGCGCGCGCCTTGGTCCAAGTGAACAGTGCGAACGGGGGAAGGGGGGAGAAATTCGAGCATGCAGGTTGGATGGACTCACGAGCGAGCTCTCGGCGGCACGTGTTTGTCGGTCAACTGCAAGCAGCCCCTCCCTCTCACTAGCCCCTCCCCTCCTCCCACCTGCCCCAAGTTCACCACCCATGTCCCTCGTTTCCATCTCACCTGAACAAAATCAAGCCAGTCCACGTTGACGTGCTCAGGCATGGTCATCCATGTGAGGGCGTGTGCTGTGACTACCCCTCCCCTCCCCCTCACCATCCTGTGCCCGCCCTCCTTCCTACCCTCGCGACTGGAGGCCCGCCCTCCCTCTCCCTCTCACCGGAACAGAGCCAAGCCAGTCCATGTTGAGGCGCTGAGGCATGGTGGTCATCCACTCGCCCATGGAGTGTTGAGGCGCCAACCTACATGTGCTCCCCCACCCCCTCAACATGTCCCTCCTACCCACCTGAACAGAGTCCAGCCAGTCCATGTTGAGGTGCTCAGGCATGGTGGTCATCCACTCGCCCCGCGTGTGGCGCATGAACATGCCGTTCTCCGCCGCCAGCCACACATCATACTCGCTGAATGCCTCGTCCAGCACGGCACGCTCCGACCCGCTCATTATGACGATCGTGTTGGCCGGATCGGAGGAGAGCCGGCGCAACGCAGCTGGCATTATGGGATGCAGACGCACCTGGTTGGGGGGGAGAGGGGGGGGGGGGGGGGGGAGAAGGAAAGGGGGGGGGGGGTGAGAAGGTGGGGGCATGGCATGGGTACAGGGGGGGATGGACATGGGGATGGAAATGGATTTGGGCTGAGACATAGAGATGTGATCTGTCTGACAGCCTTTCCCCCTACGTGATCTGTCTGACAGCCTTTCCCCCTACGTGATCTGTCTGACAGCCTTTCCCCCTATGTGATCTGTCTGACAGCCTTTCCCCCTATGTGATCTGTCTGACAGCCTTTCCCCCTACGTGATCTGTCTGACAGCCTTTCCCCCTATGTGATCTGTCTGACAGCCTTTCCCCCTACGTGATCTGTCTGACAGCCTTTCCCCCTACGTGATCTGTCTGACAGCCTTTCCCCCTATGTGATCTGTCTGACAGCCTTTCCCCCTATGTGATCTGTCTGACAGCCTTTCCCCCTACGTGATCTGTCTGACAGCCTTTCCCCCTATGTGATCTGTCTGACAGCCTTTCCCCCTACGTGATCTGTCTGACAGCCTTTCCCCCTACGTGATCTGTCTGACAGCCTTTCCCCCTACGTGATCTGTCTGACAGCCTTTCCCCCTACGTGATCTGTCTGACAGCCTTTCCCCCTACGTGATCTGTCTGACAGCCTTTCCCCCTATGTGATCTGTCTGACAGCCTTTCCCCCTACGTGATCTGTCTGACAGCCTTTCCCCCTACTCCCCTAGTCCATAGCCTCTCATGCGCTGGGATGAAGGTAGGAGGCAGGCAGAGGGATCAGGTGGGGTGCGGAGAGAGTCTAAAGCCCTAGACGCTCCACACTCCAAGCAACCCTCAACCTGCCTCCTCCTACCGTCAACTCTGTGATCTGAATCACGGTAAATCACCGTAACACCCGTCTGCCTGCCACTCACCTTCATCTCCTTGATCTGGTCAGGAGTGCGTCGCCTGTGTGGCTCCACCTGAGCTGTAAGCGTGCCGTTGTATCCCTGGGGGTGAGGAGAGAGACACACGGGCAAGGGAGGAGAGGGCGCGGGAGAGTTGCGACAGGGACGAGGGGTGAGTGGGCAGGGGCCAGAGACGGGGGGACATGTGCACAGGAACTGAAGCGGCAAGAAGCAACATCAAGTGCTTGCTTGATCTTGATTCTTGCAATAACATGTCATTCCCCAATACCATTTCCCCGTTACATCTCATTTCCACAGTCGCATTCCCGCAATCTCATTTCACACTCAATCAGCACACAAGAGGCCATAGGGAACATTTTGTTTAGTCGACTAAAAAATACACACAAGAGGCCGTAGGGAACACAGCACGCACGAGGATGAGAAGGCGGTTGCGGCACTGGTGAAAGCGGTCGACACACTGGGCCACGGGCAGCAGCGGCGGGATGTGCAGCGTGCGCAGCTGTGCCTCCACCACCGTGTCGTTCAACTCGCTGGGGGGGAAGTGGGGGAGGTGGGAGAGGTGGGAGAGGGAGGGAGGGAAGGGGACGTCAGAAGGTGTGTTGGGGCCCGTTCAGTGGTGGAGGGTGTCGTTCAACTCGCTGTGTGCACGAGAGAAGGAGGAGACAGACGGTGGGATATGAGGGGTGGCGTGGGGGTGGAGGAGAGATGTGACAATCAGAGGGGTGGAACTCCCAGCTAGTGACAACTGGGACAAGAGACAAGCGTGGACGGGAAGACAAGAGACAAAACATGGTGGCCACATCAATCCCACCACAACAACTCCTCCTTCCACTCGCATTACCTGACGAACGTGTCCGCCCACGCCTGCGCAGTGTGAGTGGTGACGTGCAGGAAGTTGTAGCGGTGGCGGTCCACACGCTCCTCCTCGCCCATCGTGAGCGCGTCCTCTATGGCGCTCGACATGTCCGTTATGTTCCATGGGTTCACTAGAAGTGCTCCGGCACCGAGTGACTGCGCTGCGCCTGCAAACTGCACTCCCAGAATAAAGGATTCAACAATTGGGGAATCAACAAGGGACAAAAATATGAAGTGGAAGGTGAGTGCGTCCTCTATGGCGCTCGCCATGTTCGTGATGTTCCCCGCAAACTGCAGACCAAGGGTTTCGGATTCAACATGAGAAGGAATGTGGGGAGGGAGGGTGAGAGCGTCCTGCATTGAGCTCCACATGTCCATGGGTGATGCTCCGGGGGTGATGCTCCGGGGGTGATGCTCCGGGGGCGATGCTCCGGGGGCGATGCTCCGGGGGCGATGCTCCGGGGGCGATGCTCCGGGGGCGATGCTCGGGGGGCGATGCTCGGGGGGCGATGCCCCGGGGGCGATGCCCCGGGGGCGATGCCCCGGGGGCGATGCTCCGGGGGCGATGCCCCGGGGGCGATGCCCCGGGGGCGATGCTCCGGGGGCGATGCTCCGGGGGCGATGCTCCGGGGGCGATGCTCCGGGGGCGATGCTCCGGGGGCGATGCTCCGGGGGCGATGCTCCGGGGGCGATGCTCCGGGGGCGATGCTCCGGGGACGATGCTCCGGGGGCGATGCTCCGGGGGCGATGCTCCGGGGGCGATGCTCCGGGGGCGATGCTCCGGGGGCGATGCTCCGGGGGCGATGCTCCGGGGGCGATGCTCCGGGGGCGATGCTCCGGCGATGCTCCGGCGACGATGCTCCGGGGGCGATGCTCCGGGGGCGATGCTCCGGGGGCGATGCTCCGGGGGCGATGCTCCGGGGGCGATGCTCCGGGGGCGATGCTCGGGGGCGATGCTCGGGGGGCGATGCTCGGGGGCGATGCTCCGGGGGCGATGCCCCGGGGGCGATGCCCCGGGGGCGATGCCCCGGGGGCGATGCCCCGGGGGCGATGCCCCGGGGGCGATGCCCCGGGGGCGATGCCCCGGGGGCGATGCCCCGGGGGCGATGCCCCGGGGGCGATGCTCCGGGGGCGATGCTCCGGGGGCGATGCTCCGGGGGCGATGCTCCGGGGGCGATGCTCCGGGGGCGATGCTCCGGGGGCGATGCTCCGGGGGCGATGCTCCGGGGGCGATGCTCCGGGGGCGATGCTCCGGGGGCGATGCTCCGGGGGCGATGCTCCGGGGGCGATGCTCCGGGGGCGATGCTCCGGGGGCGATGCTCCGGGGGCGATGCTCCGGGGGCGATGCTCCGGGGGCGATGCTCCGGGGGCGATGCTCCGGGGGCGATGCTCCGGGGGCGATGCTCCGGGGGCGATGCTCCGGGGGCGATGCTCCGGGGGCGATGCTCCGGGGGTGATGCTCCGGGGGTGATGCTCCGGGGGTGATGCTCCGGGGGTGATGCTCCGGGGGTGATGCTCCGGGGGCGATGCATGACATGCCATGGCTGACACGAGATACTCATTTGCTGTGGAGGGCCGTCAGTGAATATGAGCAAATGTGCATACCTCGCTGAGGATGAGCACGCCCTTCTTGAAGAGCCGTGCATAGAACTATATCACAATCAAAAGCATGGCAGGCGGGCACAGCAAAGCCACGCACCTCGCTGAGGATGAGCACGCCCTTCTTGTAGTTCTGGCACGCCACGTACTCATAGCTGACCAGATTCATGCCGTCCCGCAGCGACGTCACCAGCAGCACGTCCGTTATGGCGTAGAGGGCGCACAGCTCGTGGAATGCCAGGGAGCGATCCTGAGAGGGGGAAAGGAGGAGGGGGAAAAGAGGCGGTGAGGGGGAGTAGCCAGCAGGAAGCCAGTCACCAGCAGCATGTCCGTTATGACGTAGAGGGGGCACACAGCTCGTGGAATGCGAGGGAGCAATCCTGAGGGGGGTGGAGGAGGTGGGGGAAAAGAGGCGGTGAGGGGGAGTAGCCAGCAGGAAGGCAGTCACCAGCAGCATGTCCGTTATGACGTAGAGGGGGCACACAGCTCGTGGAATGCGAGGGAGCAATCCTGAGGGGGGTGGAGGAGGTGGGGGAGGAGCATCAGCAGAGGGAGCAGGGGGGCAGGGGGGAAGAGTCTTAAGCGCTAATAATTCGCGATGGAATCTTAAGGGGGGTGATATTTACAAGTGGACGCGAGAGGAAGCGATGCTGTAGGGATGGAGCTCGGGTTGCTTGCAGGTCGCGCATCAGAGACCACAAAGATCAACGGTGGTGATTGGATCGTACCAAGTGATGGATGGGCACGGTGGTGAGAGTGCCGAATCGACCGTTGATTCGCCCCACAATCTCATGCACCAGACTCGTCAGCTTCTGGTCTGGTGGAGGGGCGAGGGGAAGGGAGCAGAGCGGAGGTGGAGAGGGGAAGAGACGGCACAGTTCAGAGTGCTAACACACGATCTCATGCACCAGACTCGTCAGCTTCTGGTCTGGAATGGACGGGCGAAGAGGGGAGGCGAGGCGGAGAGGAGAGGGCAAGGCAGGGGAGGAATCGGGAAGGTTAAGAGCTGCTACACAGAAGAATATCAGTGATTGCTTTGTGGCAGGCATTGTGGCACGCACCTGCATGTGTGCTGGAAAGTCAATGGAATGGAATAACGATTCATACACTCACACTTGAGCACATAGGTGCGGGAGGGCACGGCGATTTGCACAATACAGACCTTGTGAGTCGACTCGGAGAGGTGAATTCATACACTGCCCCCACCCCACCACACTCCTGCGCTCACAATCAGGCACCCACACTCACACTCGGGCACTCCACTCACACTCCATCGAGTACTCCACTCACACTTGATCACTCCACCCCCACTCAGGCACCCACACTCATGCACTCACACTCGGGCACGTCGGTGCGCGAGGGCACGGCGATCTGCACGAGGAGGACCTTTTGAGCCAACTCAGGGAGGTGACTCTGAGCGCCCACACTCATGTGTCACACTCGGGCACTCCACACACACTGCACACCCCACTCACACTCGGGCACTGCACACCCCACTCACACTCGGGCACTGCACACCCCACTCACACTCGGGCACTGCACACCCCACTCACACTCGGGCACTGCACACCCCACTCACACTCGGGCACTCCACACACACTGCACACCCCACTCACACTCGGGCACTCCACACACACTGCACACACACTGCACACCCCACTCACACTCGGGCACTCCACACACACTGCACACCCCACTCACACTCGGGCACTCCACACACACTGCACACCCCACTCACACTCGGGCACTCCACACACACTGCACACGCCACTCACACTCGGGCACTCCACACACACTGCACACCCCACTCACACTCGGGCACTCCACACACACTGCACACGCCACTCACACTCGGGCACTCCACACACACTGCACACCCCACTCACACTCGGGCACTCCACACACACTGCACACGCCACTCACACTCGGGCACTCCACACACACTGCACACCCCACTCACACTCGGGCACGTCGGTGCGCGAGGGCACGGCGATCTGCACAAGAAGGACCTTGTCCCGCCAGTCGGGGTGCTCCTCGAGGAACTTCTCAAACGCGATCAGCTTCTGCGGTATGCCCTTTATCATGTCCAGCCGATCCACCCCCAGCATCACCTGCGAAAACATGAGTGGAGCGGCGTGTAGAGGAGTGGAGGGGAGTGAGGAAAGCCTTTACCATGTCCAACCAATCCACCTCTCTTACCCTCCTGTGCAATGCCTTTTCCTTGCCTCCCCCCCTCTTGCCTCACCTTGCGGCCGGAGAATCTCGCTCGCAGCTCCGCAATGTGTGTCTTCACCACGTTGCTCTCCAGTGCTGAGATGAACCGCTCCGGGTCTATGCCAATCGGAAACTGCCACGTGGCACAGCACAGATGAGGGGGGCAGCACGTAATTGAAGAGGTTATACACACCACCAAAACGCAAAATATAGCATACATAATAGATCATAGAAAGCATTGCATTCAGAGGTAACATGCAAGTGCAGTGCACCACCCGTGCCCACCCACTCACCGCAGCGACGCGTGTGAGTCTCCCATGGTCCTCCACCCCCTCTGGCGTGCCCTCCAGCCCGAGAATGCGCGCACACGCACTCACAAAGTGCCGCCCGTAGTCGTACGTGTGGAAGCTGCGAGGGGAGGGGGGATGAGGGAGGGAGGGCAGGTGCATGGAGAGATACCTTGAGACCTCTAGTGCTGCAACTCTCTTAGGAGCACACCTCCAGCCCCAGGATGCGCAAACACGCACTCACAAAGTGCCGCCCGTAGTCATACGTGTGGAAGCTGGGGGAACGAAGAAGGTTGAGGTGGGTGGTTACATAGGGAACGGAGCAGGAGAAGGGATGAGGTCAGCGGTGAGCACGGCCTGCTGCAACATGCCGTGTCAGGGAAAGATGGCCCACTCTTAGGACGCCAAAGTGACTTGACTTTGTCCACTCAAGACGAGAGCCAAGACAACTCCCACGACCCAACCCACTCACCCGATGAGGTCAGCGCCAAGCACAGCCTGCAGGAACTCCTCTCTGAGGGGCATGGTGCCATGGTGATTCTTCAACGTCTGTTCTCGTTACAAGCGGACCCACTTAAGTACCCCGCCCACCAAACCCACTCATTCACCCATCCCACTCACCCGATGAGGTCAGCAGCGAGCACGGCCTGCAGGATCTCCTCTCGGAGGGGCAGCGCGCGGAAGAACTCGCTGGAGGGGAAGGGCGTGTGCAGGAACCACCCCACCTTCATGCTGGTCGAGGGATGGGGGATGGGGGGAGAGGTGGGGGGAGAAGGGGAAGGCGGAATGAGGTCAGCAGCGAGCGGAAGAACTCGCTGGAGGGGAAGGGCGTGTGCAGGAACCACCCCACCTTCATGCTGGTCGAGGGATGGGACAGAGGTGGGTGGAGGCAGAAACAGTTATCAGCAGAAACAGTAATATATTTGCATGTGCTGAAACGAGCAGGGGGCGTGCAGGACATGTAGGCGTTGAGGGGAGGCAAGCTCAAAAAGCACTTGGGGCTGCAAGCTTTGAGGTATTGAGGGAGCAGCATGAGGTAATAGTCATGTCCCCGCACGATGTCCCCCTGCCTGCTGGTACTGCACCGGCCTTTAAGCTGCCACGAAAAAACATAACGTGGCGTTTGTCCACCATGACACAATCTCGGATTTTCTCTAAGAGGACTCATAAGCAACTCACTTGGGGCTGCGGGCCTTGAGGTATTGAGGCAGCAGCATGAGGTGATAATCATGCACCCACACAATGTCCCCCTGGCGGTACTGCGCCATGACCACGTCAGCAAAGCTGTGATTGGCCGAGCGGTACGCGCCGTACTGGCCCTGGATGGAGCGCGTGGCGGAGAGGCGGTCCTCCTGGGGCAGGCCGATGTAGTGCAGCAGCGGCCACAGCACGTTGTTGCAGTAGCCGTTGTAGTAGGCGTTCATTGTATTCTCGTCTAGGAAGACGGGTACACAGCCCTGGTGGCATGGCCAAAAAGAAGGGCACGGGGGGAAAGAGGAAGAGAAGGTGGTGTGAGTCTGAGTGTGCTTTGAGTCGCCCCACAGCAGTAGCCGTTGTGGTACGCGTTCATCTTGTGCTCGACCAGGAACACAACGCCACACAGCCCTGGTAGCATGGGTGGATACGAAGAGAGAAAGCAGAGGGGCATGGTTGCAATCACCCGACCTTCGTCATGCCTCTGTGCTCGCTTCTATGTGCTCCGCACCTGTACCCCTTTGTAGAGTCCCTCTATAAAGCCCTCGTTTCAAGCCCCCTCTCGTATAGCCCCTCGTATCAAGCCCCACCTTGGCCTGCAGGGCGTCGTGCAGCTGCTGCTGGTCCGCGGGCGAGTGCAAGTACAGCCCCGGCCACCCGATCCAACACGTCTCAAAGTTCTGCTTCACGCCTGCACGCATTGCACAGGAAGAGGGAGACAGTTTGGGTGGGGTGTAGGTGGAGCAGGGTCGGAACAATGCCTGTCACTCCCAGCAGCAAGCCTGCCATTGACGTGACGCCTGCAGATACAGCCCCGGCCAGCCGATCCAAAGTTCTGCTGCACACGTGCATGCAGTGGAGGGGAATAGGTGCAAGGGTGAGGAGGCTGCAAGCATTGACGCCAACACACCGGCGCCCACCCAGCAGCATCATTCACGCAGCTATGGAACTCACCTAGCAACGCACTGACGAGCCCCCCAGCTGACAGCTCCAGCGCCCACGTGCCGTCGGGCTGCAGGCTGGCCCGCACGGGCAGGCGATTGGCCACTATCAGCAGCCGCTGCATGCGCTGCTGGGCGGCTTGCGCGGGCGGCGGGGTCGGCGGAGGTTCCATCTGGGGAGGCTCGACTGGTACAGGCTGGGGGATCGCTGCTGCTGCAGCTGCTGCTACTGCTGCTGCCATGGCTGGTCCTGCCGATGCTGCTGCTGCCACTGCCGCTGCTGCTGCTGCTGCTTCTGCTTCTGCCTCTGCTGCGAAAGACACTGCTGCTGCTGGTCCTAACGGTTCAAGCATCCGGCCAGGGTCTAGAACATGGCTAGGGGTGCCTGGCCTACCGCCCATCCTATGCTGTGGTGACGCTACAGCCGGCCCTGCTACAGGCGACCCCGCTGCAGCCGGCCCAGCTACATCCGCCCCTGCTACAGCCGGCCTCGCTACAGCTGGCCCTGCTCCCCCTGCTCCCATACCCCCCGGAACAGCCACTCCCGGACCCGGAATCCCAGCCACCCCTGGCAGCACCGTCACCCCCGGACTCGCACTCCCCACTCCCACGTCCCCCGCTCCCAGCCCCTCTTCCGGAATCCTATCCGTCAAACCCGCTGCCTGTGCTGCAGCCGCAGTGAGCTCCCCGCTGCTCTGCACACGAGGCATGGCGCCCCCACCCCTGAACCCCGGGTAAGCTGTGAGGGAGGAGGACAGGCGGGGCGTGGATCCTGCTGGGCGTGGGATGGCGGGTGATGAGGCCATGTGGGGAGAGGAAGAGAGAGGGTATGGGGAGGCGGCGGCAGAGGGGAGGCGGGGCGGAGTGGAGGCGTAGGGAGTGGGAATGGCGGAACTGTGGGGAGTGTGAGCGGCAGCAGCCGCAGCCAAGTTATCATAGCTGGAGTTCCGGCTGTCCGGACCTATCATCAGGTCTACCGGGGCTAACGGCCCGGACCTGGTGCCGTGAGCGGCCGAGCCAAACGCAAACTGGCCTCGGGAGGTGGAGCTGGCTCGGCCAACCATGGGCGCGCGCCCTGGCACCCACGCTGCGCCTGCTCCCCCTCCTGCTCCCCCTCCTCCCCCTCCTCCGCCTCCCCCTCCTCCTCCTGCGACCCCCCCTGCGCCCATTCCCGGTGCTCCTCCTGTTGCTCCAGGAGCTCCGGCGATTGACCCAGCACTGCCGTGTGACGTGGCAATGCCACGTGGCGTCATTATCCGCCCGTCCACCGAGTCCACGTCGAACTGGAGGAAGCTCGTGCTTCGCCTCATCTGCCTCTCCCTCAGCAGCCGCTCAACCCGGGTGGAAGACTGAGAAGGTGGTATCGACCGAGGGGTAGTTGGCTGCCGTAGGAAATTACCCATGGAATTATTGAAACTGCCCGAACCAACAGTGGAAAACGAGCCGGAATTGGAAGGGCCGTTGGCTGACGCGGCGGCTGCTGCTGCCTGGGCAGCTTGGACGGCTGCGATTGCATCTTGGGCGGCCTCCTCATAAGAAGACGAGAGGCCTCGGTAGAAAGTGGGACGACGGGGTGTGCCTGGCATGTTCATTCCTTGCTGCTGCTGCTGCTGCTGCTGCTGCTGCTGCTGTTGCTGCTGCAGTTGTTGCTGCTGCTGGGTTAGGTGCTGGTGAAGCGGGTACAGCAGCTGCTGCACCTGAGCCTGCACCTGTGGCGGGTGAGCCTGTAGCCCGTGCCTCTCAGGCCCAGTGGTGCCACTGGCGCTGCCACTCGTAGCATGCGCCAGCCTGGCGATCTCCCGCGGGGTGGAAAGAGAGAATCTCCGCTGGATCCTGCCGCCCTCGAACCCGAATCTTGATCCAGATGCACCTCCCCCGGGTCCACCTTCCCCGCTCACTCCCCCCCCTCCCCCTCCTACCCCCCCGGCGCCGTAGCTGGCATCACCACCGCCCTGCCTCCCCGCGCCGTCGCCTGCTGCGCAACTCCACGGATCCCTGCCTGCTTCCAGGACACTTCGCACGTCCGCATCCTGATAGGGAACGCGGATAGCCCAAGGCCCGGCGTCATAGTGCCCTCTGCCCGCCCCCCCCGACCCCCGCGCTCCGCCTGCTGCGCCAGCGGGTGCTCCGCCAGCTGCGGTTCCGATTCCCCCAGGGGTGAAGTTGCTGCTGAGGCTGCTTCTCCGCGGAGGGGCTTCCGCGGATCCATCTTCCGCGGCGCGGTCGGGGGGTTTGATGGAGAGGGAATAGCGCGTGGGCGCCATGGGAGGAGGTTGAGCTGGCTATTGCGAAGTCTCAGGGAGCAACTGCGCAAAGTCCAACTTTGTGTCAGAAGATCGGCTTAACATCTCATGACTTGACTCACAGCCGCAATTCTCACAATTCACGAGAGCCTGAATAATTTTGAAGCGCGTACAGGCTTGTGGTAGGATTCTAGGGAAGAATAGTCTAAGTCCAGATACTGTGACTGGCACAGCATGAGGTAGTTAAGGTGCTATCGTTTGCAACAACTACTCCTGGCCCTAGAAAGTGCTTGCTTGGTTACCGTGCAGTGACGGCACAGCAGCGGTCGTCAGCGAAAGCGCCAGGTCTTCGCGGAAAGAGTGCTCGCGATAAGCAACCCTCGCAGTCTAAGCACGTAAAAAACCCGTCGAATTGACGGCGGAAACTTTTGGCCATGCGAAACGAAGGACCTGTCTTTACAAACATGTGAGAGACCTGACGATTGCGATGCGAGCACTACTAACTAGGAGGTCGTCGTGTGAAGACACTCTTGCTACCTACTGAAGCAGAAGGAACGAATCGGCGTAACTGAAGGCTGGCTGTCAACTAGAAAAACCGAAACTGGGAGAATCTTGTGCTAGTGGTCTGACACGGAACTGACAGCCAGAGTGCTTTGTCTGTAACGAGGATATCACCGCCTTTAATTTCCCCACCTGACAAGCATGCTCAAAAGAGCATCATCCTTTACGGATTGGTGTGTGTGGCCAGTGCTGGGCCAACATGATGTGTCAGTTGGGCTACCAGTTGACGTGGCATATCAGAGGCTTCCGTGGTGGCGTTTAACTAAGCTCTACAACTTTTTCTGACACCAAGTTCCTGTCGCACAAATATCACGAATTGCCGATTTTCGGCAGCCCGCGGCTCACATCGAGATTTTGCAGTGTGGCTGCATTTGGTGTTGCTGTAACGAGTTTTCATTTGTCGAGGTTTGGAACTCGAGATTGGTTACGGCATTTTGAACCGAACCTGAACGGCTCGGTGCCGTACCAGGCTGCAAATTCAGCTGCTCCAGCCGGAACAGAGGGTGGCGTTTCGCGTAAGGACCGCTGACACGTCTTTAGTAGCTACTCGTCAGAGAAACTTACCAGGGCTAGGGACGAGCTGACAGAGTGAGGCCTAGGTTGATGCAAGCAATTCCGCCCTGATCCCTCACTCACATCTTTGGTTGTGAGGAATTTGCCATGAAGGTTCTGACGTTGCCTCCCGCTATAGCCACGTTCGTTATAGTGGTCCTCGGCGAGGTGATCTTGAGAGCACTTCGCCGCTTCCTCCCGGTACGCTCGACGACTTCATGATTGCCCCAGATAGAATCTGTACCCGTAGTATCTCTTCATGCGCCCCGTTGATTCGCAAACGAAGCGATCCCAGCCTTGCTTTCATACGTGAAGCTCGTCTGGCACGCGTTCTCCTCGTTACATGACTTCCGCATGGTCTCATAACGCAGCTTTGGCGGTCTGAGACTGGACTCGTAACACACCGGGGTAACCTCATAACGCGTGGCTTGTCTAACGCATCATTTCCGTGGCCAGGAGAATCTGTCAGCGCGGAAAGAGGCGGCTCTTGCGGCGGAGGTAAAGCGCCTAAAGAAAGAGGCGAATCGGCTGAACACGTGAGTCCTGCAAATCGAGATCTTGCTGAGTCTTGCTGTGTCGTTCATTTATGGAACTCCCACTTTCTTTTCGGTTCGTAGCCTCCCTTCATCGTCACTTCTCCTCTGGAACTCGTTCTTCTTCCCCCGGTCCGCATCGTCCCCCGTCCTCATGCTTTCCCATGTCTTATTTTTCCCCCTACCTCATTCTACCCCCCGCTCTCATTCTTCCCCGCCCACAGCCCCAGCACCTTCTCTCGCTCTGCTCTTCTAACTCGCACTGCCACCGCCAAGGAGAAAGAGCTGAACGCCTGTTCGTGATGTGAATCGCCGCGCATGATGCTCATCCTGTCATGGAATCTCGCTACTTGATTTTGTGCATTTTCCATTATTTGCTTTGTTTTCCGATTCCGTGTTTGCCTGTGCACATGCGCAAGTCCTTGGTTCCGTCCCCCCTGTGCATTGGCAGTGAAGGCACAGCCATCCCGTATCTGGTGGACGCTGATTCGCTTCGTCCTCCCGTACACCATACAGGTACATCCACGGCATGTACACATGCGCATGCACATGCAGATGCACGTGCACACATATACGTCATGCACGTCTTCACGCATAATGACTCTATGTGGGTGGTGGATGGGCTTACATCGTCTGGCCTCGGGTCGATCGGTCCAAGCACCGTTGCCACTGATTGCGGATCTCGAATCATGCAGCATCTTAATTTTTCAACGTCCCACAAATGTGTTCCAGTCTATGACTCAGTTTGGTTTTTTTCCATTGTTCCACTCTGCTGCACTCCTGTGCAGGCATGCGCGTATGTGCTGCTGGTGCTCTCATTCCGCTCCAAGCCCGTTGTCGTTCTGCCAGTGGACGTCGTCTATCCATTCGGTGAGCACTGCTGCACGGTTACCCTTCCACTGACCCACTGTGCCCCTGTATTTTCTCCTGTTGTTTTGTTTCCTGTTTGGGTACAGCTGTCTCCACTCTATTCAAATGCGATCTAGTAACTTATTGACTTGTTCATGTATTTATTTTTCTACACATGCTCCTTCTTCATCTCTGTCTGTAGGGTCAATGCTTGCATTCCCCCATGGAGCCAAGTGGCAAGGAGGCGGAGCTGTAAGTGCCTTCACTTCACCCCCTCATTTCCCCTCCAGTTCCAGACATTGCAAACTTCCTTTCTCAAATCGTTTGCATATGGAGGCATGTTGTGCATACATTGTTATGTTGTGTTACCGGCATATATCGCCCCATGTCAGGTAAACTGCAGCTCACATATTCAGCAGCCACGACGTAGTCTTGTCACGTCCGCACGTATTTCAGTTGTATTTCTTGACACAATTTCAGTTGCTACGTAAACATTTTCAATACATGGTCTCTGTATCCCATTCTCTCTCCTTCCAGGTCTCGGTAATTGCTTGGCTGGCGCTTACGTCAAGAGTAGGTAGACTTCTAGCTGACCAAGTCATCTCAAGATAATAATGTTATTTTCGTTTAGGATGAAGTGGCACAAAAATGCTCAGCCTGGAGCATTGTATAGACAATGTTGAGTTGAGTTGAGACATAAAGCGACGGGCAACTTTTGGCAGTGTTGGGTTCAGAAGTTTTTTTTTTGAACCAGGCTTGCCAGCGCGAAAGTGCTGGCTGGCGAAAACCAGGATTTCGTGCGGACACTTTCCATCCGCAGTAACAGTTCGCCAGGGTTCCGGGTTTTGGGTGGCAAATGTGCACCGTCGCTATAATGCTCAGCCGATGAAGTGGGGATGCCGAACTGCTGGCTCGGCACTTTCAGTGTGCGTCAAGGTCATGCGAGCGCATTCCAATTCCAAACCATGGATCCTGAATCCGCCAACGGATGCTAACCGTTGCTCGTTCGCACCAGACATTAACCGCCTTTTCCAGACAGCCATTTCGTGAAACGCGTGTCGTAGTACCGCAATCAGCTTTCCCCGCATGGCTCGTCTGCTCGACCCCGCCTTCCCGCACACGTCCTCGCTCGCACTATCTCCATCGCCAGCGCAGCGCAGCACCCGTTGCTACGTTTCCTCTGCGCCTCGAAATCCCGCCCGCCTGAACCCCCATGCCGCTGCGCATTCGCCACGCGCTTCCGCGGAGCGTGGAAAGCGCGCGCCCCGTACACTCGGCCCAGGCCTGTTTCAGCGACATCTCGCGAAAGACCTTCGCAGCGCTGCTTTCGCTAGCCTTCGCCCCGGGCCGGCCGTTCATGCGGAAGGGCGACTCACATACAGCCGCTCTGCGACGCCTGTACGGGTCAACGCGGTCAACGCGGTGAATGTGGTCAACGCGGTCAACGCGGCCAGCGCGAGTGAGGTGGAGGCGAGAATTGCTGTGGCCGCCAACACGGGCGCGTTGGACCTTAGCGACTGCGGTACGACGACCGTTTCCCCGTTTCCCCTAGTTCCCCCTTGGTCTTCCGCCTCCCCGTTTTCCCCCGTTTCCCCCATTGTCTTCCCCCATTCCCCGAACTGCCCCAGTTTCCCTCCTCGTCCCCGTCTGTGTTCCGCCTCTTCCTGATATCCATCCACTTTGCCCCCTATATCACTCAGTTTCTAAGCCCGGTTTTTGAGACGTCTCAAAAGTCATCCGCTTTGGCCCCCTATCACTCAGTTTCTAAGCCTGATCCCCATCTCTATCTCCAACAAGGTTTCAACTTTTGGGTTTGAGGTTTAAACTTACCCTCAGTCCCTTTTCTATCCTCCCCTCCTCTTTTCCTCCCCTTCCCCAAAACCCCCCCTCCCTCCCCCTCCCCAGGCCTGACGGCCATCCCCTCGGCTGTTCTGCACCTTTCAGATCTTACCGACCTCTCTCTGGCCGGCAATCAAATCGAATCCATCCCGCCTGAGATCGCCAACCTCTCCAAAGTAAGCCTGCAGTTGGATCTTCTTCTTTCTCTCTCTGGGCGGCAATCGAATCAAATCAATCCTTCCTGAGATCGCCAGCCTTTCCATGCTACCGCTCCCCTTTCCTGCCCCTCTTTTTTCCCTCCTCCCTTTCAGTTACCCGTTTTTATCTTCTGCCTTCCCATCACACCCCCCTGCTCCCGCATCTGGGCCTGGCAGGCAACACAAGCACCCACCACCACTGATCCCAATCTCATCCCTCCCTCTCTTCTTCCCTTCCCATTTCTCCCTTTCACCTCCACACCCCACCAGCTGCGCCGGCTGGGCCTGGCAGGCAACAGGCTGCAGCGACTGCCACCTGAAATCGGCCATCTGACGCAGCTGGAAGGGCTGTGGCTGCACGGGAACCTACTGAACGAGCTCCCAGACGAGGTGCCTCCCAGTGGTTGCATTGCAGCACTGTGCTGTTTAGTGAATGAAGCACAATGTGCCTTATGGCGAGTACAGCGTATGAGAGCTGCTGTCATCTCACCTAGTGTTTGCCAGCATTCAGCTTCAGAACACGGTTCCTGCTGCCCCTCCCCTGCCACTGTCTCGCGTGCGCTCACTCTCCCGCACTCACTGTCTCTTTAGTTCCTTCCCGTTTCCTCCGCGGTCACCTCCCCTCCTCCCCTTCCTTCCCTCCCCTTCCTCCCCTCCTCCCCTCATTTTCTCCTCCCTTTCACTACTCCATGCCTCCTTCCATCCTCTCTCCTCCCCTTCTCCCTTCCTCCCCTCGTCCCCCCCTCCGTCCTCCACTCCTCTCTCCTCTCCTCAGACTGGTCACCTCACAGCGCTGCGGTTCCTAGCGCTCGCAGGCAACCAGTTGACGCGGTTATCACACACGCTGGGCAGCCTGACGGCGCTGCAGGTGCTGTCCGTCGCTGGTAACCAGCTGGAAGAGTTACCACAAAGTAAGAAACGTTTCCGTGCCTCAGTCTTTACGCACTCTGCTGGAAGGCCAAGCACGTTTCCTCACATGTGCTTTAACTTCATACTCGTTCTCATTCCTTATCCTCCCTCCTCGGCTGATTTATCACTCTATAACAAGGCTTCTCTTCCCCTCCTTCCAATCACTCCTCTCCCACGTCCCCCTCCCAGCCATCGGGTCGCTCGCCTCTCTCAGAGTCCTAGCTGCTTACGGCAACCTTCTCACAGCCCTACCACCCTCCATCACCCACCTCTCCTCCCTTCAGGAACTCTTTCTTCAGGTGAGCGCTCAGGTGTAGCCTCAGGTGTGCTTTCAGGTGTGGCTTCAAGTGCTTGGACTCTGCTCAAGTGTATCAACCCTCTTCGCTCCCTTCTTGTCCCTTCTCTCTTCTCTATTGTCCCACCTCTCCAGTCCCTCGCCGTCTTTCCCTCCATCCCACCTCACACAATCTTTCCCCATTTTCGTCTCCCTTCCTTCTCCCCTTGCCCAGGGCAATAGGATTGCCTCCCTCCCACCGCTCTCTCTGCCCTCCCTCCACCAACTCTCTCTCGCCGACAACTGCCTGTCAGCCATCCCACAAGGCAGGCTAGCGCAGTTGCCGTTTCTTGAATCGCTCTGGCTGTGAGTACTGCTCCATTACCGTTCGGTACCCCTCTGTATCTTGCTGCATAGTAGTTGCGCTCTGAATCACTCTGCGTGGTTGCGCTTCTTTGTTGCTTCTTACCCGTGTGATGCGTGTGTCAGTTTGTCAACAGTAACCCACCTCTTACACATGATTAAACAGCCTTGTTTACTTTTGCATCTTTCCCTGTTATCATGGATGTCAGTGATCCCACTTACAATCTACAATGAGCAAATTTGCCTCTTTTCGTATGATCCCTCTATATCCCCACAACCTCCATCAGCTATGGCAATTCCATCTCTCACCTGCCACCAGACCTTGCAGACTGCTCTCGCCTTGCCAACCTCTGGCTCGAGGTATACTATTGGAAAAATGGAGCACTCTAATGGTGTGAACCGTTTTCTCGGGATATAGAATAAACCATTGCCCACTTTTAATGCAAGCCAGCGCTTTCCAAAGGCACATATCCTTCTTTCCAGCTCGCTGCTAACCCTTGAATCTTTCCAAGTGACTGTCTTCGACTCACACATCTGCATCCCTCAATCCTTCTCCCACCCTCTGTTTGCAGGGCAATCCGCTCTCACTATCTCACACCATTCTCTCCGACACCTTTCATCAAATCAAGACTGTGGGGGTAGACTCGCTGCAGCTTGCACCGTCACAGGGCAAGCAGCCACCTCTCCCAAGCAATGTGCTTGTCAGTCGGCTGGCAGGGACTGGGGCAGCGCAACGAGACGGTGGCTATTTCAAGGTTAGTGTGTGGAAAGAGTTGACCTGATTTGTGCTGAAATGAACAGCTGCCAGGCTAGAAGGCTGTACAGCCATGTCAACGTGTGGAATAGATCTTTCTTTCCCGGTCTGTACTACTCAATCACTACCCTTAACCCTAGATGATCCTTTTTCCATACCCATCTGTTGTGTCCACCCGCTCAGGTGCAGCCATGGCAGCGCGTAAATTCTGCGTCAGAGGCAGAGGCCCACCGCTCTAAAGTGCTGGTTGTGGCCTTTGGCAGCGCTCCAGCCGTGCCCAACTGGTGAGCTAGACCCTATTTTCACCTCTCAAGATTCAGTCATGCAAGCGAGTGTTTTTCAAAATGTGGCAATGCGGCAGCAGATATGGATTTGGCAGCATTGGTAGTGAGATTCAGGTGACTCTTGAGTGGACTGTGTTGTGTTGCATCTGTGTCAGGGCGGGGCTGCTGCGCAAGGTGAAGGGAGACATGGGTCTCACAGCGGCCATGGGAGGAACCACCACGCCCTTTGACACACTCTACGTCGTCGATTCCACGCGCTCCTGGTACACGCACGCTCCCCTCTCCACGCTCACACCAGCAGCAAGCAACGCGAACTTGACACCGCCACCTCCTCCTATGCTCTCTCATGTCGGTGCCTTCTCCATGAACCAAGGTCTACATCCATCAGTTTCAACTACCCCAGCTACATGGCCTTCAGTATCGGTGCAGTCCCCGGTTCCAACCAATGCATCAGTTAGTTCATCACAAGTTGGTCCTAGTGCTGGTGGCTACACGGATGGGGCGTACTACCGGAGGGAGATTGCAGCAGCAGTGGAGGGATATGACCGTGTGGTCATGATTGGAGATTCCATGGGTGCCTCAGCTGCCCTCATGTTTTCGGAATTCGGATCAAGTGTTCTCTCGTTTTGTCCGCAGGTTAGTTTGCTCCTTTGCAAGTTTTTGGTTTTCCAGCCTCATCGTGTTTTTGCGGGACACAAGCTTACTAGAATCTTTGTTTCTGGTTACTTCCAGGTGGACCTTATCTCAGCCAGTATTCGGCCTGGTCGTGACTCAGCTTGGCTCAGCTCCTTCACACAGAACCTCCTCTCCTCAATGGAATCACCCGCTGCTTCAGAACCAAGGATACCTGGACAAGTGTCCCCACACGTTCATGTACATTGTGGGAATTGGTCTCATGATGTTGCACAGGCTCGACTGGTTGAGCACCTGCCTCAGGTGAGAGCTTGAATGGAGCGTGCTTTGTTTCAGGCACTGGTTCAATCATGGTCAGCAGCAGCACTGCTGACACAGCACAGAACATGGTGCTGGAGGCATTATTGTGCGCACTTATCTCACAACCTGTTGTGGATGTGGCAGGTTGAAGTGACAGTTCACCCTGTTGACAGCCACCGCCTAGCAAAGGACTTGGATACTAATGGGAGGCTAGTTCCATTGGTTAAAGCAGCCCTCAATTGACACATGAGTGTATTTCAAGCCTGTTCATGTCCAATTGCACCAAAGACATATGGAGTGTTGACCGTATGTTCCTACGGTATTCCTACCATCAACTGTTAATGTTACAACACTTGCACACTACCTTAACTGCACGTTGAACGAGAAATCTTGGATTATCTTCTTGCACTGCTCCATGTCAACGTCTCCAAGGTCCAACCCTTCTCGTGCTTCCTTCTTCAACTGTTGCAACGTTTCTTCAGCAACTTCTCGGCCTACCAGGACATACTCTTCCTCTGAAACAATCTCCACCAGAATGTTGCTGGGCCCAGCGCCACTGCTAGTTACCATTTGGGTGTTGCTCTCTTCCGGAATTGCCAAAAGAGCCAGCATGGACTCGATGTTCTCTGTATCTTCGTTTCCTGGTAACAGCAGGCTGGGGCCTTGCTCACTTGCCACCAGGCTGGCATTCTCGTCTGGATCAATTTGTGATGGCCCAACTTCTTGAACACAGCCAATCTGTTTCCCCGTCAGACCATCTGAGCTCTCCTTGGGTGGAGGTGGTCGATATAACACCTGTGATGGCGTCACGTAGGACGGCAAGAGGAGCTTCCTTCTGGATGGTGGCTCAGGCTCCAGTGACCGAGCAGCATATTTACCATAAACAGGTGCATCGACAGCAACGCCTTTACCAAACATTAGCGGCGTATTGACTGGAGTAGGGCCACATCCAGGTGAAAAGCCTTGTGTTATCAAGTGCATCGAAGACGAGACGTGTGTCAAGCCATCTGCTGGTTCCAAATCCGTGAAGTTTATGCTTCCAACCTGTGAAATGTTGATTTCGGTAGGGCCAGATATAGATGAGGGCTGATGTTCCAGCAGCATGACCATCGAAGGTGCTTGTTGTTCCATCTCAGAAGCATTTAGTGGGTCGTTCGGAGGATGGTGTGCGACCTGGCTTGGACTGCTTTGGCCAACAGCTCCTGCATTATACATTCACAAGGACATGAAGTGAACCTCAAAGTGGACAGGACTAGTGAAATTGCGAACCTTACCTTCCGCAGTCCAGTCCTTGCCAAAGTCTTCCAAGTCTGAGAATCTACCATCAAATCTTCCACTTCCTCGCACATGCAAAGTTGGTGTTTCTCGCTTGCTGTTTGGCTCGTTGGACAAGCGAAGCTCGGTAGAGACGCATGAGAACCTCAGCTCATGATTGCTGGCTCTGTTGTCATAAGCCTTGGCTTCAATGCTTCCGCATCCACCTGTCTCGGTGTACCGCGCACAAGGGGGTGCTTGCTTGGAAGATATGCACATGTGATGGTCAGTGCTGTTCCTGTCCTTGAGCACACGAGCTGGTAACAGCTCGTGGTGGGAATCTCTGTTCCAATCTGCGAGAAGTGCTTGGAGCTGAGAGTCTTGGGATGAATATAGGCTTGAAGTGTTGCTAAACCGTATGTCAGGGACTTGATCTGCTTCTGATTCACAGTCCAAATCTGCACGTGAAGCAGGAGGTGACAGGCTTTGTCCAATCCCAAATACAGGTTCTTCAGAAGCCGCGGGATGTGTAAAACCTGAAATTATGTGTCATAAGCAATCAATAGCAGCGCACTTGCACATAAGAAAGTAGAGTTCATTATCAAGGCCGTGATTACCATGCTGTGAGTTACCAGAAAATGTCGAATCCCGGTAGGTCTTGTTCTCAGTGCAAGTTTTTTGGTCCGTGTGGAACAGTTTGAGGGAGGATTCAGTCAGTCTCTCTTGGGATTGATTTCTCTTTCACTACGCAACCCAGATGAACGTCTTCGTTTCGGTGATTCAAAGCTGGAAACTTCAGCAGATCTTGTTCCTTTCGGAGGAACAGATTTAGGCATTGCGAGGCGAAGCTGGTCACCATGCTCAGTGAGCGAAGAAGCATGACTGGTAGCCACATTTCGAGATACTGAGCCTGGTGACAGACCTCCTACTAACTGGAGAAAGCATCCGTGTCGTGCTAAATTAGAGTGTGAATAACTTCCTTTGGAATCCTTAATTGGAGAGCTGATGCACAAATTTGTCGGAAGCGCACTGGCTGAGAACGTTCTACCTAACTTAGGAAGGTCAGACGACCCCATAGTAGAACAGAAATGCTTTCAATCAAGGTCGCCTAGTTGGCTTGAGAATGAGGAGAACCCTCTTGATCGAGGCCTTGATAAAGAATTATCCTACATTGATTGCGGTGGGGAGGCTTTCTGACAGCGTGGTAATCTTGGGTTCATGTGCGCGTTTCGGGCGGAGGTTTGAACAACCCAACGGGTTAAACGTGGTACAAAACACTTCTAAACTGGTACCAGCTGCTGCATCGTGGTATCCTTGCCTGTTCCATGCTTCAATGAGAGATGTACAGTTTCATAAAGATGAAGCATCTTTGCAGCAATTTGCACATAAAAATGGACATTTTGCAAGGAACTATTGTACTGGACATTAGCTGGATAGTAACGCTAACTGCTGATAAAACTAGAAGTAAAAATGGACATTTTGCAAGGAACGATTGTATTGCACATTAGCTGGTTAGTATAACCTTAACTGCTGATAAAACCACTGTAGAAGTATCCATTTCTCTTGCAGATTTTGCAGTAGGCATTTAATGTGGAAGGAGGTGAGCCTGAACATGGGATAGTGCAGAACGTCTAGGCTGTGGAATGAGGCTGCCAGCTATACTTGTGAGAGTGGAGACATCACAGCCATATTCCTCTGTAAGCTCATTGACCACACCATACAACAGAAACCCATTTTGTCCATGATAATAGCCTAGGGACACAAGTGGCAACAACCACAGCAGCAGCAGCTCCTGCAGTCAAGGGTGCATGAAACAGTCCCCAGCTGGAGGCCTGCTCAGCACAAAATATGGCTCGCAAACTAAACTACTCACTTCCCGACTATCCACTCTACAAGCTACTCTCTGCTGTGAATCTTCAAGCCAGTCAACCCACTAGCATGACTCGTCGGGGAGAATAAGCAGCTTCAAGCAGCAGGAGGGGTCTTGCCATCATCCTCTGACACAGGCACATACTTACCCTCAATAAAGCCCTTGTCGTTGATGGAGCTCACAAACTTGAGCTCAACCTGCACACAGCATAGGAGCAGCACACATAAGGACGCATCAGCAACAGAACAGAGAAGCTGATGGAAAAAGCCTTGCAATAGTGATCTGAACCATGATCGATAGCCAAAACCCAAACCATGAACAGAAAGCTCAACCCTGAACCCCAGACCCATATCCCAATCCACATAACCCTTGCCAAAAGCCTCACCTCTTCGGGCTTGTTCTCCTGTGCCTCAGCCTTCTTCTCCTGAAGCTCCTCCGCGGCCAGCGGGGTGAACTGCGCGTCCAGGGACCGCGCGGCCGCCAGCCACGCCACCACGATACCCAGCAGAATAGCTCCCAGGTACGGCGTCGAGTTGGCCAGCGACCCAAACGCGAAGATCAGGAACTGTTGAATCAGAGCGCCGCCAGACTTGCCCAGAGGGTTGCAGACGACGTCAATGGCGGCCTTGCCCTTCACCTTGGTCTCCTCGTCCAGAGGAATGTACGCCATCTCCTTGCAGGGATCGAACAGGGAGTACTTGGCGCTCTTGCTGAAGATGTTCTGCGCAGCGCCAACATACACGGCGGCCAGCAGCGGCGTCATGCCGATGCTCGCGAGCGCGGGCGTGAGAGGGCCGCCGCAGAGCACGAGGCCGAAGAAGGCGACGCCAGTGAGGAGCAACACGGTGGGCGTGATGAGCGCGGCGGTGCCCCAGCCGTACTTGCGGAAGATGACGCGCGAGAGGAGCATCATGCCGAACGTGACAATGCCCGTCATGGATGAGAAATCGCCCATGAACGCCGAGTAGTCGTTGGGGTTCGGGAACTGCACAGAACGAAAGTGCAGAGATTTAAAATTTAATAAAATTTAGATATAGATTTTAAACTACCAGACTAGGTTCTTTGAACTTTCATCGGCGGTACGTGGGTTTAGAGCCATAGAAAACTGAAACAGATAATAACGAAATAAAAAGGAATAGTCTTGAAGATTATCGCAGGCGGCTCCAATTCCATTGAGAAGTTGTTGTTTTGAGTCAGCGATTCTCAATGCAGATCCAAGTGCTCACCTGGGCCTTGATCTTGCTCTTCCAGGTGACTTCGACGAGGTTGATGGAGATTCCGTACGCCACGACGAGCGTTGCGAGGTCGCGCACGTAGCGAGAGCTGAGCAGGAACTTGAGCGACTCGCCCATGCTCATCTTCGGCTTCGACTTCTGTTACAAGCAACATTCGGAACAAGCACATCGGAAAAGACGAGGAAAAAAGGGCAAGGAGCACGTGAGAACCGGAGAGTGAGGAGCGAAAAAACGGGAACAGGAGTACGTTTATTGAACGATTGAATTACCTCCGGATCATCAGTGTTGGATCAGTGAAAACACTCACATGCTGCCAACAAACAGCATGTCCCAAATTCCCCGACCCCCTTCAATCCAATCCATCTTTCACCCTTATCAGACTCCCAATCCCCCAGCGCGCACCTTCTTCTTGCCGGCGCCCTTGGGCAGCGAGGGGTCGTTGACGACGTTGCGGTCGACCCACCAGTACACGCCGCAGATGACGAGCCCGAACGCCACCACGATCGACATCATGCCCTGCAGCGACATGCCCCACCCGTCCACGCCGGGCGGCAGCTGCCCGCGGAGTGCGGAGAAGTACTTGACGGTGCGGCCGGAGAAGATGAGCGCCACGTTGGCGCCGAGACCGAACAGCGGGTAGAACTGCTTCGCCTCATCGACAGTGCAGATCTGCAATGTTACAATTGACAAATAAGAAATTAGATTCGTTAACTCTATAGGAAGACAAGGTCGGCAGAGAAAAGGAACAAACGAAAAGTTGATCGAAAAAGACCAATTGTTAATTTAGTATCCAGGAAATGGCGCCCATTAAAAACTGAAGAAGTAGCATACCTGATTGGCGAAGCCCCAGAAGAGGACGGAGACGACGACGCTGCCCCAGAGCTCGGCCATGACGTAGAAGAGGCAGAAGGACCAGTTGCGCAGGATGGAGATCGGGCCCATGAACCGCGGGCCCATCACCGACAGCAGGTGCTCCGCGAACGCCGTCGGATGCAGCACGTGGCGCAGCGGGTAGATCACGAACGCGAAGCTTCCGAAGAAGGCGAGGAAGGGGATGATGCACGTGTAGAAGAGCGCTTGCTTGCTCAGCACGTTGGACATCTGGCCGTAGAGCAGCATGAAGCCGATCGCCATGGGCAGATTCACCCATGTCTTCAAAAACGGAATGATCTCAGCACCGCTTCCGGGCGCCGTCACGACGAGCACGTCCTTGGTGTCACGGAGGATGGTGTAGTTGAAAAGGATGCAGAAAAAGATGATACCGAGGGGGATGATCTTCTTCAATGTGATCACCTCCACGCCCAGGATCTTGGAAGGCGCCTTCGCGATTGATCCAGCAGGCTCGCCGGAATCAGCGGCGGCTGCAGCGGCGTTCGCGCGGACGGAGATTGGCCGGCGGGAGTGGTGCCTCCGCCTCGGAGTCTCCGCGACGAGGGATGACACGTCAGCCTTAAAGCTGCTGGCCGAAAGCGCGCGATCCTGAGAGCGACGTTGAGAAGAGGCCTTGGCCGACGAGGCGATCGGGCCAAAGTGAGCGGAAGTTGACGATAGGGTTACTCGCTTTTTGCAACTTGCAGCGGCGAGGCCTGCGGCAGGAGCCGTCAGGCCAATGCTGGCCACAGCCTCCATAGTGGCGAAGGGTGATCAGTAGGTGTTCTATATACGGCTGAAGATGCGTTGGTGATGGAAGACAAGAAAAGAGATTGGAAAACAGTTCAGGAATCAGCTGGCAGTATATGGGTTATGGCAGTAGCAGGGCACAGATTGCTGAAATGTGCGCGGAGGGATATTGGGGAGGAGGGAACGTGGGAACAGAGAGGATTGGCAAGGGGATAGGGGAGGGGATCTGGCAGGATGGAGGCGAGGCGCGCCGCACTGCCTGAAGGGGCCCCTTGCGTATGAAATGCGATGGAACCAGGCAATGCAATTTCGAGATTCCACGTGTCGATTACTGTTTCAAGACTTGGAATCTGACCTGGACGTTTGGCGGGGTTGTGCCTAGATCCCAAACCAGAAGTCCCTGCCCATGGGAGCTGCGGAAACGCCTAGGAACTGGGTTCGGCGTCAGATTGGCTGCTGTTGGAGGCTCGGCCTGGCTCCCCTGGATTTTTATTCGATGAGGAAATTGCAAGTGACGTCGATGTGGCTGCTCCGCTGGTTTATTGGAGGACGGCTATGACCTGGCAATGTCGAATGTGGAGGCTAAGGGGACGTGGAGGCCACGGTGTAAAGGCCGAAAGTGCTTCCAACTCGGCGCAGACATTCGTAAAGCTGACTGGCAGACCCGCGCGATCTGAAATGTTGCGTCATCGCATAGGCTGGCCGCTTTCAGTTGCGTCTAATGTTGCGCTTTATCCGACACGTGTCACATCCGAGGGAGCTGGGACCACCACAGAGGACGCGTCATAAGCTTTGATCTGTTGGCTGAAAGTAAACTCAACTTTCTCTATTCTCTCAAAACATAACAAAACCGACTATAATTTTAAGGACACACGGGGAATATTTGCCTGCGAAATCCTAATAAGGTAGCCCCAAAATACACTGAGTGGGTGCAGGAATAATTGCTCTTTCTGAGCTTCTGTAAAACGAGAAAAGCTAGCGGACACGTCATGTTCTAATATATCCTCGTGGCATGACAAGCTGTACCAGCGCTAATTGGCTGCTGCGAACATTGCTGGGGCTAGCTGATGAGAACGGAGCTTTCTAGGTACTGGATCAGTCATATGTGATTAGTCTAGTATACTCCCAAGCAAACTCTCCCTTGAGCTCACCTTTTTGTGTAGTAGGAATTGCAGAGCAGTGGCGCCTTGTTTTGTGATGTTTGCTTATCGCCTTAGGTCTCATGATTTCTTGACTCTGATATTTGGAAACTGGTAGTCGAATTTGAAAGTAGAGGATGAGATAATTAGTCAGCGTCCAGTCGTCATGACGATGAGCCTTCTGAGCGAAGAGGCATCAGCGACTGCACAAACGTCACAGAGTCCACCAGGCATCACCCGACCCCCGCCGACCCCTGTACATAACAGCAGTACGGCCGCGCTCCTTTTGCAACGCAGACACGCAATGCTTTATGATCCGCGGTTCTTACAAGCTCGAGAACAAGGACTGGTGACGGGGTCTGCGTCTATCCCAAATTCGTTCACTTTCAGGCGACTGAACAGCGTTCCCTGTCAGACCTCTCTCAGCTGGACAGCTGGTATCACATCGCATGTAAGAACCACCTTGGCGTTGCAGGTGCCAGCTCAGCAGTCGGTAAGAAGGCTAGAGGCAACAAGGCATAGAGTGTCAAGATGTAGCAGTCATCATTCCGGACCGGTTTCAGCAGCTGCTTGTAGCGGATCAGTACGTGGCATAGGCAAATCAGCAGCTTCTGCAACACCTGCTTCCAGCAAGTCCCTTGTTTTTTTCAGTCTGTGTGATTGGCTTCTCAGACCGGCAGCTTTTCACGTGAGCAGATATAGCAGCAGCGAGGGCAGCAGCATCAGGGGGTCGATTAACTTCAGTAGGAGCATCAGCAGCAACAATGGCAGTGGTGTCAATTCCAGTCTTGGGGGGAGTGGTAGTGGAAGCAGCAAGAGGTGGTTGTCTTCTGACCGCTTCAAGCTGTCAAACAGGAGGCCCAGGTCTTTTCCGTTGGTGCTAGCAGTCGCAGTTGGTGCAGTAATATTAGCGTCTGCACTTTCAGGCCGTCCCGATCAGGGACACCCCCCTGGTTCTTCCTCCGTTCCTGAACAGTCACCCGAGAAAAGTTTGTCCTTTCCTGTCCCCGATTCAGTCAGATCCGTTAGCGCTAGAGCTATTCATTCCGCCAAGAAGTTGAGGGACCAAGTTGTAAATAGCGCTTCTCAGTCAGCCTCTGCAGCTGCCGAAGCTGGTGCTCAGGCTCGGGATGCTGCCGTGGCAACAGCAGCTCTGGCTCGATGCTTAGCTGCCATCCTCTCCTCCGACTCGCTTCCTGATCTCAATGTGTGGGAGCTCCGTGTTTATAACGAAAGACGGAATGCACAGGAATCAAGGAGCCCTGATTTGAGGCGATACAGGTCTGCTCCTAGACCCTCTCCCCTTCCCCCATCTCTTGACGGTGCTCCGTGGGTTGCACGCTTGGCAAGGACCATCGCTGATCTTGCAGCGGCAGGTGGCAGCGCCAGCAGGGCAGCGATTGCTGACGCAAGCAAAGGGAAGGTGCTTGATTGGCTGCTGGAAGGGCTCGTGAACAGTGATTCTCGAGTGAGGAGGGAGACGGCTCGGGCGATTGCCAGCCTGTTGAGAGACGCTGACGTGGCACCGAGAGTGCTGAATAGAGATGGCAGCATACGGCGAATGCTGACTTGGATAGCACAGCTGGATTCCGCTGCAAGTCCTGGTGTTTCCAGTAGGGAACTTACTGGTGATCATTCAGGTGCTGGTGATAGCTCAGGTGCTGGCAACAGTGCATCGGGTGGTGATAACTTATCACCGAAGCCGTCCTCTGTTCGCTTGGCGAGTGCTCTCCTGCGCTATCACCCCCTCATAGACGCACTCATGGACCTCCTCACTGAACCCCCTCCGCTGAATCAACATTCGATACAGTCACGCCACCCTGCTTCACTGCTACGGCCTGACATTGAGCCGCTGGGAGGGCCGGACCTGGCTGATCGGGCAGCTGAGGTGGATGTGAGGGCGGCCTTGGATGTGCTTACATGGGGGGAGCCTGTAGAGAGGGAGGAGAACAGCGGTTGGTGGGGATGGGGAGGGAGGGGGGGAAGAGTAAGGGGGAAAGGAGGAAGAGAGCGTGGAGGTGGAGAGGGAGGCAGGGGAGGGGAGGATGGGGGATCAGGGGGGATGGGTATTGGACTTGGGGGCCATGCTGGCACGACCATATGGGGAGTCATGATCGATGCAGCCAATGAGACCATGCCACGTGTCTGTGCTCCAGGGGCTGGCGTGCTTGCTTACAGGAGCAGAAGTGTTACTGATGAAGATTTTTTTCTTAAGAGGACCAGGATTGACTCGTTTGACCAGGCCAGACTTCCAGGGACTGGGCAGGGTGGGCAGGGAAGGAAATGGGATGATGCCTTTTCAACTCCTGGGCTGTGGGACGATCTGCCAGGGCAGTCAGTTGCTGCCTTGCTGGCAGCATGGGCAGTCGACAAGTGGACCGCCACGTCAGCATTCAATCGCCAGCTCATTGCCAGCATGGACAGCGAGGGAGATGCTTTGGCAGTTGGTGCGGTGGCTCCAGAACAAATGGTGAGGTTCCACGTGGCACGCGCTATTGGAAGGGTTGCAAGGGAGCAGGAGATGTGCTTATTCGGAGGGAAAGGTGATGAGAAAGATGGGAAGGGCGACGACGTGTTAAGCAGGGTGGGTGCACGAGTGGCAGGATGGAAAGATGCTGTGGTTGTGGGATCTCAGAAAATCGTGACTGGAAGGAGGGAGATGGAGGAGAGGCCAGGGAGTGAAAGAGCGACAATAAAAGAAGGGAAAACCAAGGGAGACGGAATGGCAGCCCGGGGAGATGGAACAGTGGTAGGAGGAACAGGGGCCGGAGCAACAGGGGCAGCAGGAAGCTTGTTTGTGACGCCAGCAGCCATACGCAGCTGGTCACGTGCGTTGCTGAGCTCAGCATCGCCTCCTTCGTCTGCCTTCCAGCAACGAAACAGTGACGTCACGGTTGCTGCCCTGCACGCACTGCGCACACTTGCCGACATCAGCGATGACGTGGCGCACATCAGCAATTATGTCGGGGGGGCTGAACCTTCATTGCGCGAGGGAATCACGCGGGAGGCATTGCCGCAGCTAAGGCGTGTACTGGCGGCTTCCGCTACTGCTGCCACTCATTCTGCCGCTGCCTCTGGTTCTGCTCCTGCCTCTGCATCTACCTCCAACTCTGCCTCTGGTGTTTCCGCCAAGAGGCATGACTCTGATGCGCCGTCTGCACGTGCTGCTCCTCCAGGGGGTGTGAGAGCAGGGAAGAGCAAGGAGAGGAGGGAAACTGAGGGAGGAAGTGTGGAGGAGCGCGAGGAGGCAGAGGAGGAGGAGGTGGTGAATCTGGCTGTAGCGCAGGCTGTAGCGTCACTTGTGCTGGGCCGTCGAATGTATGAGGCTGCGGCAGTGGGAAGGCTGATAGGAGTGCCAGAGCCAGCACCAGCAGCGGCGGTGGCAGAAACAGGAGCAGTGGCGCCAGCAGCAGCAATATCATGCCACTTGCCAGGTCCGCTCCGCACCACACTGACTCGCCCAGCAGTGGTGATGCCTGCGGACGAGCTGCGGGCGTGGGGCCCCGTGCTGGCGAGATGGGCGTGTGGGGTGATGGGCGGTGGAGGGGAATTCAATGCAGGAGCAGGAGAAATAGGAGCAAGAGGAGCAGGAGAAAGTGGAGGAGGAGCAGGGGAAGGGAAGGGAGGAGGAAGAGCAGGAGAGAGAGGTACAGGAGGTCCGGCAGCGGCAGGTTTGCTGGGCGGCAGAAGAAGGCCGGCAAGGAGCTTCTTGGAGTCGAATCTGGTGCCGTCTGCTGCCGTGGCTGCCACTGCTGCCGCTGGGCAGGCTGTTCTGGTGGAGGTGCTATCTGCTGCTGTTCACCTGGCACGTGATGCCTCTGCCTCCTCTCATTCTGCTGCTTCTGCTGTGAATGCGCGTGGGGTTGACGTGCCATTGGGGGGAAAGGACATGGGCTGGAAAGGGGAGCGAGGTAGGTCGAATGCAGGGAAGGAGAAAGAGAGTGGCAAGGGAGGGACGGCGGGGTGGAGGAACGCGCGGGTGGGGAGAGGGGCTGAAATCGTAGGGAAGCAGGCCGACGGGGAAGTGGGGAGCTACGAGGCTGGGAAGGAATGGACGGGTGTGGCAGTGGGCGTGGGTCTGCTGTGGCTCTCTGAAATGCTCATGTGCTCTGTCAGGGATGGGGAGGCGGCCAGGCAAGCAGCGAAGAATGGACGGGTGGGAGTGGGCTCAGGGGAAGCAGGGGGTGTGGGCAGGAAGGGAGAGGCGGGGAGGCAGGGAGGGGGCAAGGGAGCGGAGAGTGTGGGGATGACAGTGGCGACAATGAAGTACCTTGAGTCGCTGTGGAGGGGAGGGAAGGGAGCAGAGGGGCAAGGGTCTCCAGCCGTGCCTGCAGATCCACCCAGCGGGGTTCATCCCGCTGAAAAGGCCCCACAAAGCCAAGCATCGCCGGGGGGAAAGGCACGCGGGGGAAATGTTCCCGGAAAGCAATTGCCCAATGAGCAGGTGCATGGAGGGGCAGGTGGGGCGAGTGCGGGTGAGAGCGCAGGGGAGAAGTCCTCCTGGTGGTGGTCGTATGTGAACCCGTGGGGAGGGTTGGGCGAGGCAGGGGCAGCAGGGAAGGCAACAGGGGCAGGGTCCGGGCAGGTGCAGCAGGGGAGGGAGAGGGTTGTGAAGGGGCGGGGAGAGCAGGCGAGTGCGGCAGTGAGTGGGGAGGCGAGAGGGGAGCTGGGAGGGGCGTTGAGTGAGAAGCACCGTGCAGTGCGGGACGAGGCCCTGCGGTTCGCGAGTGCTGCTGTTGTCCGCCTGGGTGAGGAGCTTGGGAGCGATGCGTGGGGATGGGGGCGAGAGGGTGATGCGAGGAGTAGAGTGGGAGAAAGGAAGAGTGGAAGAAGGGAAAGGATTGGTTTTATGGGGTCTGGGGAGGGGGAAGGCAGTAGACTGGGTTCAGTGGAAGTAGGTGTGGAGAAGGGGGCTTTGGAGGAAAGGGGAGAAAATGACTCTGCACCAGTGGTGTCTGATGCAGGCAATGGCAGCAGCATATCCAGCCAAGCTGCTGCTGCTGCTGCTGCTGGTAGTGGTGCTTCTGCTTCTGGTAGAAGGGATGTTGATACTACAGTGAATGCTACTGTAGACGAGCTTGTAAAAGTAGCGGAAGAAGAGCACGAGCATTTAATGGACATGCTGGGCTTTGAAGGAGGGCTGTACTCTACTCGGTCAGGGCTAGTAGCTTCTAACGAGGATAAACCTTCAGCCAGTGATGAGCCTCCACGTGTGAATGTTGTAGAGGCTCTGGACGCGGCTGCGACAGCGGTGAAAGCGCTCGCTGAGCTGGCAAGTGAGGATTGGGAGATGCAGGAGCAGCTGGTGGCAGGTGGAGGGGTGGAGCTGATGCGGCGGCTGCTGATTGGTCGGGAGTACTGGGAGTGGGTGAGAGGGGAAGAGGAGGTCAGGCGGAGGGATGAGAATGGGATCATGGATCCGAGTCGGATGGATCGTGGGAATTCAAATAGCAGCAGCCATCAGCACAGCAGCAAACGAAGCAAAGGCAGAAAGGATGACAGTGCTGGTGGCGAGAATAGCACTAGTGAGAGTGCTGGGAGTGAGTGTGGAAAAAAGGGCCTTCTGATTGGCCTCACTGCATCTGCACCTGCCACTGCAGTTGCACCTGCCAAGCCAAGCTCCCCCACAGGCTCCCAGCCCATCTTAAAGCCAGCCACCCGCTTAACAACATCCCAATCAGTCGGTGCCACATCAGCAGCAGCGAGAGGTGGAGCCACAGTAGTGGCTCCTGCAGGTCCTGCAGCCGCACCTGCTGACGCTGCAGGAGAGGAGGGGCTGGAAGCGGCCAGGGTGAAGCTCACAAAGCTCCAAAGGAATGCCGCCCGGCTGCTGGCTCAGCTATCAGCTCACCCCGACTCGTGGGCGGCAATTGCCGGAGACCCGCTTCTGATTGGCTGGCTTGAGCAGTGCACCACAGGCGGGGTGCGCGAGGATGCAAAGGAGAGAAGCGGCAGAGGGAGTGAGCGAGTGAGTGAGAGAAAGAGAAAGATGGAGGAAAGCCGTAGAGGGCGGGAGCGGGACGGCTCATCTCATTCACACCACGCGCTCTCATCATCAGCAGGTGGTGTGAGAAGCTCCGATGAGTCGTGGTCCGACCGTGACTCGGAGGAGAACAGGCTTGTGCTGTGCGACGCGTGTGTGAGCAAGAAGATGCGCTCCAACGCCCGCAAGGTGCTCTCCCATGCTGCTCCCGCCCTCCATTCTCGGAAATCTCCGCCAGCATCAGCTCCTGTTGCTGTGAGCACTGCTTCCACGTCAGCCTCAGGCTGGCATGTTGAGCGTGACGTGGCGGTGCCAGGCTGGCACGAGCCTGGGAAGCAGTTCACGCCGAGGTATGACGACGGCATCTTCTTTGTCCACCCCACCAGCCCCTGGCTCCAAGCGCACTCCCTCCCCTCCCCCCTCTCCTCTCCTTCGCCTTCTTCTACCTCTTTGTCTTCCTCCTCCTCCTCCTCCTCCTCCTCCTCCTCCTCCTCCTCCTCCTCCTCCTCCTCCTCCTCCTCCTCCTCCTCCTCCTCCTCCTCCTCCTCCTCCTCCTTCTCCTCCTCTGCCTCCTCACCCTCCTCCTCAACCATGACACAGTCCCCTGCGCCTGTGTTGGACGTGGTGTTCGTGCACGGGATGAGGGGCGGTCCCTTCAAGTCGTGGCGCAGGGGAGAGGCAGTGCCTGCTGTAGCACCGCCTCCTGGAGCACCTGTGGCAACTGTAGCACAAACGCCCGTAGCGGGGACGCCTGTAGCGGAGACGCCTGTAACGGGGGCGTCTGTAGCAAAAACGCCTGTGGTTTTGGTCCCTGGCGAGGAGCTGAGGATAGAGCGTAGGGTAGGAGAAGGGATGCGAGAGAGTGAGGTTGTGAGAATGGGTGAGGTGGTGGGTGAGGATGAGAGAGGCGGTGAGAGAGTGAGACGGGGTGGTGCAGAGATGGAAAGCGTGATGGGTGGGGAGATTAGGAGGGAGGAAGTGGGACGAGGTGGGGAAAGGGATGGAGGGAAGAAGGAAGGGAAGAGTGTGGGAGATACAGAGGCATCAATGCTAGGAAGAGGGGGGAGTGTGATGGAGGTGGAGCCGTCAAAGTTGCTGGAGGCGACACTGAAGGAGGAGGAGGAGGGCGGCAAGAAGGGGTCGTGCTGGCCGTGTGACTGGCTCGTCAGGGACCTGCCCGATGCACGGATCCTCACCACCAAGTACAGGGTGTGCTTTTCCTCCCTTTCTTTCCCCGGTCTCCTTTTACACGAGTCTGGAACCATGCGCTATCTTACTGTCATTGCGAATCTCACTCCATTAAAGTGTCAGCCGAATGAAGAGTGCAAAGGTGCTTCAAGTCGTCCCAAAGCTCGGTTTCCTCTTCTTGACCTCTCAACCCTGCCCGTTTCCGTCCCATCTCCTGTCTGCCTTCCGTTATGCTCATACCACCCATCCTCAAACCTGTCTATCTCCTCATTCCTGTTGCAGACGAATCTATCGGAGTGGGCCGGGGCAACCCTTCCATTACAGGCACGTGCTGTGTCTCCCTCGTTGCCGTAGTGATCCCTCCTCTCGTTACTTACCTCTTGTTGCGAAGCGAACCGCTGCTTTCGTAGCGTGCGTGGTCATTCTTTCTTGTTTCTTTCCGATGGCGAGATGCCTATGGGATCTTGATTGCCCTCGCGTGCCCCACCTGCCCTCCTGTCTCTTCCCTCCCCACCTCCTCCCCCAGGACATCAGCATTCTGCTGCTACACAAGTTGGTGGCAGGGGGAGTGGCCAGGAGGCGGGTTGTGTCTGTGAGCTATTTGAGATGATGTCCTGTTTTTACCCTCCCCTCCGCCCTCCTTCCCTCCTTCCTCCCGCAGGACATCAGCATTCTGCTGCTGCACAAGCTGGTGGCAGCGGCTGTGGCCACGCGGCTGGTGGAGTCTGTGACGCTGGACGTCTCAAATCTACTACTTCTACCCTCCCGTCCCCTGTCCTCCCGCAGGACATCAGCATTCTGCTGCTGCACAAGCTGGTGGCGGCGGGAGTGGGCGAGCGGCCCGTGGTGTTTGTGACGCACAGCATGGGCGGGCTCATCGTGAAGCAGATGCTCGCCCTCGCCCGTGCCAGCGACCTGCCAGAGATTCGAGCCATAGTGGACAGCACAGCAGGCATTGTGAGTGCAGCTGCCACTGTCACATGTCTATGAGTGGGCCTATGGTTGGTGGGTCTCTGGTGTTTTGTGACGCACAGCACGGGCAGACTCATTGTGAAGCAGATGCTCGCCCGCGCCCGTGCCTGCCACATGCCGAAGATTCAAGGCACTGTAAGTGCCGTTTCATCCGGAGAAACCCCTCATCCATTCCTTATGAATTCCTGTTCATGGCTGCTGTATTTCCCCCACTGAAATACAGCAGCCACTGTTCCACTCCACTGTTCCATGGCTGAATGTCCGTTCGCCCCTTGCGCCTCCCGCCTTACAGGTCTTCTATTCTGTGCCGCACTTTGGCAGCAGGATCGCGGACTACTCCTGGAGGGCCCGGGCAGTGCTGCGACCTGCACCATCGGTGCGATTCCACCCTTCGTCCCTCTGCTTGACTTGGTGCTTTCTGTGTTGGCGCTGTTCCGTTGTCTTCGTCACTCATGTTTCATGGCTTCGACCCTGCTTTCACCATGCAACTCTTATCCACTTTCAAATCTCGCTTCATCTAAAGCACCACCCGATGCTCGACTTGGTGGTATGCAGGCGGACTGTCTGCGCATGTCATCGCCGCATGTGGAGGGTCTCAACACCATGCTGAGGCACATGCACAAGCAGGGCAAGATCCAAGTGCTCTCCTTTGCTGAGGTGTGTCTGTGGGAAAAGGGCATGGTGTAGTTGTGATTAAGAATCTACCCCAAGTAGATTGTTTGGTGAACAGTGTCACAAAGAACTCCACTATTTAGGTATCTTAGGGTGAGTAAGCAGGAGGGGTTGGCTGCAATGGAACTGCAAGCCCTTGGATCTGATGCACTCCCCTCCCTCCCCCGCCTCCCCCGCCTCCCCCGCCTCCCCCGCCTCCCCCGCCTCCCCCGCCTCCCCCCTCCTTTTTATGTTTGCTGTTTGTCTGTCTCCCGCTCGCCCCTGACCAGACCAAGGTCACGCCTCTGGTGAAGACTTACGGTGGGCTGACGCTGCGACTGGAGGTGGTTCCACTGGAGTCGGCCTATCCAGGATTTGGGGAGTTTGTGGTGAGTGAGCTGGTCGAGCTTATCTGTGGGGTGCATGTTGCCCTTCATTCCTGCCAAGTGGCACCCCTTCCGTGCTTGTCAATATGGTATGTTTCTAGTGTGTTGGTTGCTTGATGTTCTGCTGGTGCATGACTTTGCATGTATAACATGGTTTCACATGGTTTGTGGCATCATCGTCGTGTAATGTGCAGGTGTTGGACGGGACTGACCATATCAATGCTTGCAAGCCAGTCAACGCTTCTGACCCCGCTTATGCCAATACACTCCATTTCCTTCTCAAGCTTCGAGATGCCACTCGAAAGGACATGGTAGAAGAAAATAGGAGGGTGTAGGGCATGTAGGGTAATCTTAGGCTGGTTGTCATGGTACCGTACAATATGGTGATATAGTTCTTGTTTTAATGTAAGCAGTTTATAGGTTATTAATGCTGTGTAGATGAGGGCCACTTTGCCGCTGCAACATGCTTATCATGTCTGAATTCCGTCGTGTGTCACTTGATTCAAACGAGGTTGAACTTATTGCACGAAGTCGAAGCTATCCGATGAAATCGGGCTCTCGGTAAAATAACATTCACAAGGCAGCCTGCGCCCCCAAGATCTCGAATCAACCAAGGGCTCGCATTCACCAAGCCGATGTCATCGACGGACGATTTCGAGCAAGCACAGCGCAGCGTGTACCGCGGTCTGAGAGCCTGACCAGCCGTGTGTCACGGGAAGACGGGCGCTTCGCGCGCTTCCCCTCGACCACTGACGTCCAGCTGTGTGGTTCGGTGTGCGAAAGGGGTTGCGTTCTGTGTAAACTTTGACAGGCCTTCCGGAAAGGGATACTTTTTCGATGTTCCCATTGGTACGTGAATAGCTTTTCTTCAACTAAGAAATGTAATTGCGAAAGTGGCCTTGTGAAGAAAGCACTAAACGGCATGTTTCGATAACTTTGATGTGTAACAATAAAACATGGAGCGTAATGAACTACCCTCGAGTATTCCGACAAAGGGTGACAGCCTTCGGTATTGGGTGCCGTACCTGTGTCCCAAGCCAAACCGCACTTGGCGTGTCACGGCGCAACTAACGAGCGGGAGCAAAACTCGCGCTACCCTGGTCACCTTCCACAGCTGTGCTGTACCGTTGCGTGCGGGCTCGTTTTGTGCACTGCCACTCAACTCACTCTCGCTCAAACACCTAGCACGACCACAACCACCCTGGCTTCAGAGCTGCCCTGGGACTGCTCTGGTTTCAAGGGCTTGGCTTTATTTCCGTCCAGCAATCACATGCCCAACGCACATCTTCGCTCACAGCTTTACTTTAGTTCGTGCCAAACGCTCGAGGGCGCTCTCAGACTACAGCTTGTGGTCCTTAATCTGCTCAATTGATCTCTAACCAGCGTAGAAGGATCTCTCGAACCTTACGATCTTCGAAGCCATTAAAGACAGGAACTTAGAAACGCAGGGTAGCATTCGCAACCATGTCGGAACGCAGCAACGTCTCGGCCTCTGGCCCCAGAGCCAATCCTCTCTACGGCGGACCAGCTAACCCCAGCGCTGGAAACCGAACCCCTTCATGGGCGCGTAAATCCGGCGCAGGCGGTGCCCGGCCGTCGTTCAGCGATGCCGCCTCTTCCCCCCCTGATTCCCCCGCGCGCTCCGCCCGAAGCAACAACGGCCCATCGTACTACGCCCCGCACTACGAGCACCCCGGCTACACCGTCGAAACGCCCGGCGCTAACGACGCTATGCTGGGGCAATCCCCGTTTCGCGCGCCCCCTTACTACGTGCAGACGCCCGCGCACTCCGAGCGCCCCGGCTCCCCCATGTCGTCAGTCCCCGACTCCCCCGCGCACACCATGTCGTACGATATGCGCAGTGTGCGGTCCGGGAAGCCAGGCTCGTCGCGCGTCTACGGCGCGCCGGCTCGCGCGGCCGCGGCGCCGCTTGCGTCGCGGATCAACGAGGAGGGCGACGAAGAGGAGCAGCTGTACGAGCCGCCGGCAAAGGAAGCGTCGGGTGGGCGGTCGAAGCGGAGCAAGCGGTTCTGGACGATCTGCATTGTGGTGGGCATCCTGGCGCTCGTCCTCGCAGCCGTCGCGACGGGCATCGCGCTTTACTACGTGTTCCAGCCGGATGCTCCCACGTATACCTTCGATGTAAGCACATTCGTTTTGATGCACCGGGTCCGGGATCGCGAGTCTATGGTTCACCACCCACGTCTGTTTCGCTTCTGAATCCACCTCAGGCATGCTCGTTTTCGATCGTGTTCATAATTTTCCTCTGTTCTCCCCGCTCCCCCTGGCAACTCTGTCAGTATGCGACGCTCAACGAGTTCCAGATCGTGAACAAGCTCGCCGACGGTACCGGCTTGCCGACAGACCAGCTTTTCGCCAACGTTACTTTCGTCTTCTCTGCGATCAACCCGAACGGGAAGTACACGCTACAGGGCGATGGTGGTCTGCTGCAAGTCGGCTACAGCTCCATTCCCACGCTCATGCAAGGAGGGGTGAGTGTTTTCGTAGGATTTTTGTTTGCTGCGCCTGAGTCATGCCTGAGTCAAATCGTCCGCCTGTATTCCGTTTGCCAGGTCCCCAGTTTCTCTGCTAAACCACCTCTTTTCCCCCGCCTCCTCTTTGTGCCGCCTCCAGGTCCCCTATTTCGCCCTCAGTTCTAAGAACTTCACCAACTTCACGACATCAGTCGGCGTAGCCATGTACCCGTTATACGGTGTGGGTCCGGGGCTGCGTCAGGACATCATGGCCGAGTACATCAGCATGAGCCTTCACGCTCAGGTGGAATCTCGTATCGAGATGGCGTGGAAGATTGTGCAAACTCATTACACGCACGTCATGGACTGCAGTGTAGCTTTTAATCCCGTCAATCTGCAGTATCTGAATGATACTTGCGTGTTCAAGAGAAAATGAGTAGGGGGTTTTATGAGCCAGGGAATAACTAGTAGGATGTTGCTATGGCAGCAGTTCTGGGAACCTTGGGAGTGGCAATGCTGCCAAGCTAGCAGTTATTGATTAGGGAGATAGATTAAAGGTCTGATGTACTTCCTGTGTTGAACAAGAACCCTTGTTTTAGGAACCTGTAATATGGCATTGGCCGTCATACAAGGCTGATAAGACATGCATGAACCCAGATGAGGCAACTGGCCATTGATTTGTTTGATTATAATCAAACAAATTTCCACTAGATGAAATCCACGCACTTATCAATGAAATCCCGGGAACAGATCCAGAACCACGACTCCCCCCTGGTCAGCTGTGCAAATTCTGGTTCCTGCTTATGCAATTAGGTGGCAGGTGGACAGTTGTCGAGTTCGCTTTTTGAAGTTTGTCAACGCGGTTGTATCGCAGTTGGCTTATAACGCCGAAATACTTGGGCACAACTGCGAGCCAGTGGACTCACCTTCCCTGTATCAGAATTTTTTAATTTTATACTTTTAAATTCTTGTCGCTTGGACCAGTCGCCATAGAAGCCATTATGTCGGAACCGCCAGCCAAGCGCCCGAGAGGTCGTCCGAGAAAAAACCCTCTTCCCGATAACGCCGCGAGCCCCGCGTCTGGCACTACAGGAACACCGTCGAGAGTTCCGGCTGCGGCCGCTAGAGCTGCTGCCACTAGAGCAGCGGGAAATAGAGCAGTCGAGGAGGACGATGACGCGCAGCCACGTCAGTCCAAGCGAGCTGCCACGTCAGCTGCAGGCAGCGCGATTTACAGCTCGAGCAAGCCACTGTCGCAATGTAGGTGGTCGCACTATGTACTCGTTATGTACTCGTTTTTTTTTTTTTCGGCTGCTGTTCGTCCCTCCCTCGCGCGCCTCCTGGCGTCACGGCATTGTCACCGCGAGACTCGTCCTTTCGCATTGCGCGGTGCCGCACGCACTTTGTTCCCTTTCGCAATTTCCGTATTTTCCTCCAATAGCTCTCAGTCCCCGTCTGTCCTTCCGCGCTCCCGTGTTTCTCGCCGTGCCCGTGTGTCTCTCACAGTGAGCCCGCGAGTTCTCGTTCTCGCTCCAGATGAGGTAAGCTCTCTAAAATAGGACGCGGATTTTTAATTGTTATTATTACTCAGTATTTAAGTTAACCTGCTCCCTATAGTGAGGTTCGGTTTGCAAGAGATATAAGTTAAGGTCAGGCACGCTTGCTGGAAAATCTTGTAATATTTATTCATTTAATTTCCTGATCAACATTTCCACCCCCGTTTCCCCCGCTCCCTCCCCACCCCCTGCCTCGTCCCCTCGCAGGACGTGGCGACCCGCATATTCCTCGAGTCGCAGGCGGGGCCGAACGTGGGCGTGTGCGTGCTCTCCGCCAACGGCTCTATTTCCAGCGCCACGCTCCGAGACCCCTCTGGCGGCGCCAACACCACCATTCACGAGGTGCAGTGCGGTGCAGAGAAATTGACCGGGTTAGCGCCAGGTAGATGACACTGCACCACCCTTGCTTCCTGAGACTCTGTTAATGCTCTCCTCTCCTTAGCCTTTTGTGTCCCCCAAAATATTTTCTTTGGCTCCTTGGCATGTCCGCTACTTTCCCTCCCTCATTACCGCTGCCCCCACCTTTATCTCTCCCCCCTGCTCCCCCGCCCCTTAACTCCCTTTCCCCCCCACACTATCTACTCCCCACTCCCTTCTTCACTCTTCCCCTCTCCTCTCACCCTGACCGCTTTGAGCAGCTGAACATGTCAGCCCCCTCTCCCCCTGCCTCTCCTCCACTTCGCCCCCCTCCTTCCCTCCTCCCCCTCTTCCCCTATGGCCGCTTTGAGTTCCTGCCCCCCTCCTCCCCCGCTTCCACAAGTTGAGCATGTCGGGCTCGTTCCTGCCCTCCCCTCTTCCAATCTCCCTCCTCCCCCTCTGCTCCTCCCCCCCCACCCCTTCTCCACCCCCCTCTTCCCCAGGGTCGCTTTGAGCTGCTGAACATGTCGGGCTCGTTTCTGCCGCACGACCCGGCGGATCCCGATGGGCGAATGGGCGGGCTGAGCGTGAGCCTCGTCAGCTCCAACGGCCGCGTTGTGGGCGGCGGTGTGGCGGGCCGCCTCGTTGCCGCCACGCCCGTGCAGGTGAGCAGCTGGCGGGATAGGGTGTGGGAGGTAATTGGGGGGTACGGAATGGGGGGGAAGGGGAAGTTTTGGGGGTGTGCGACTCTTGTTCTGAGTCGACTCAAAAGGCCGCCTCGTTGCCGCCACGCCCGTTCAGGTGAGCCGCTGGCGGGAAACGGTGTGGGAGGGAATGGGTGGGTAGGGAATGGGGGGTGAGGGGAAGTAATGGGGGAAGTGCGACTTCTGAGTCGACTCAAAAGGCCGCCTCGTTTCCGCCACGGCCGTTCAGGTGAGCAGCTGGTGGGGTTAGGGGGTGTGCTTGTGGGAGGAAATAAGGGGTGGGGGGAGGACGGGGCTTGATCCTTTTGCGCTTGTGTGTGAGCATGTCTGTGTGTTTGTGTTGTGGTGCGGGAGGGAGGGAGCTTGGGGTTCAGTGTGAGGTGCACGGGTGGGGGGGTGCTGTACCAATTTCTTCTGAGTGCTGTGTTCTTTCCCCCTCTGCAGGTCATATTGGCCACATTTCTGCACGATCCCAGTAATCTGGCCACACCTGGGTCAAGGCCAGCTGCTGGGCAGTAACGGCAGCAGCGAGGGCAGCAGTGAGGAGTAGAAAGGGCAGTAGGAAGCGAGTGCATTGAGTGCAGCAGGATGGGCACCAAGGGCTGGAAGCAGGGCACCGGTCATCTGTGCTGGGGAGAGAAACAGGGCGCTAACGATAGGTGCGATGACAGTTGGGCATGATACCGTATCCAAGATTAAGATGCTGGTGAGAGCAAATGAGCACATTGTGCCTAACTGGTTACTCTCTAGAAGGGTTTTGGGTTCAGAGAACAATGGGATTTGGAAGGTGGTAACCAACGGTGCATGAGGGGTTGGTGTGGGGGAGATCCCTGGTTTCTTTCTTAACGAATCCTAGTATGGTAGTCTGCTCGTTGTGAACGTCTTCAATTGCAGAGAGCTTTAGGTACAAGTTTTTACCGCTACATGCCTTGTCTAAATATATAGCTTTTGAAGCCTTGCAAATACCGGTAAGAGAAAATCAAATGGGACAGGCAGACAATATGTTATTTTGTGCTTCACACCCGGAACTTGAATTTAAAAAACTAGAAAACCGTCAAGGATTGATTAGAACCAAAACCACCATAATCACACCCCTACGAAACCTGCTGGCTGTGGGGTTTGAACCCACGCGTGCTGAAGCACAAGAGATCTTAAGTCTCCCCCCTTGGACCACTCGGGCAAGCCAGCTGTTTAAGTCTCCCGTATATAAAGTAGGTAACCAAAAAACAGACCTTCGTTTGGTTAAGCATTTGAGACGTATGTACATCAAGTATGTGAGTGCACTACATTCTTTGATGAGGCACTGCATCCTACGAGCAGCATACAGCCCAAATTCGCCCTATCCTGAAAGCTCATTCAACCTCCTGACAACCACTTATTTTCACACCCATTCTCCGACTGTTCTCCCCCGTTTACCCCCCATCCTCCGCCCACTCCCTCTCTACAATCACCAACCTTCAAACCAAAGCGCCTCTTCCGACCCCTCTCTACCTTGCCCCACCGCACTCTCCTCCTCTCCCGCCACCCCTCCCCCCTTCTCCTCCTCCACCATCCTCCCCCTCTCCCCCTGCACCTCCCCCACCCTCCTCACCAGCTCCTCCGGTGCCGGCCAATCCAGCGCCGCCACCTGTTCCCAAGGCACGCCAGCAAACCACGGGTGGGCCTTGATAGCCCCAGCCCCGCCAGGGCCGCACCCGAGCCGGTCTTCAGGGCGCGGGGAGAGCAGCTGGTGAATGAGAGCGGAGGCGGCGGGGGGGAGGTGGTCGGGCAGGAAGAGCGCGTGGCGGGCGATGCGTGTGTACACTGTCAGCTCGCTGTCCCTCCACGAGCCAAAGGGCCCCTCGCCGTGCAGCAGAGCGAATATGAGCACTCCCAGGGACCACCTGTTGGGGGGGAGAGCGCGGGGGGGGGGGGGGGGGGGGGGGGGGAGATTGCATGTGTGTGACAGTAGTGCAGGCAGCAGTACAGGGAGCATAATGAGGGGGATTTCAGCAAAAGAGGCCGGCACGTGACAATACATGCAGGGAGGGGAGAGGTGGATGGCCTACACACGATAGACTGTCTAAGAGCTCTCAAAACCATTTCAAAAGAGCAAGCGCCCAACCCCAACCCCTAAACCATCCACCCAGCAAGCAAGCACCCCATCCCATCGCACCAGTCAGCGGGCACGCCATGGCCACGCCCCGCTATGACCTCCGGAGCCACGAAGTCGGGCGACCCACACATGGTGAACGTGCGCCCATCCTCCAGGCGCTTGGCGAAACGCAGGTCGGGGAGCTGCAGACAGGTGGAGGACGGGGGGTGTCAGGGAAAGAACTAAGGAGAGGGAGGAGCAACGTGGTGATCGTGCACCCATCTTCCAGACGCTCGGCAAAACGCAAGTCGGGGAGCTGCAGAGAAGGGCTGGTTTGGGAGGGGGGAAGGGGAGAATAAGAGGGACGCGTAACGAACGAGGAGACGAGGAGACGGGGCGGAGAGGGCGCCCCACACATGGTGAGCGTGCAGCCGCCCTCCAGGTGTGGGGCAGTCACCATGTGTGGGGCGCCAAGCACCTGCAGCCGTCCTCCAGGTGCTTGGCAAAGCGCAGGTCGGGGAGCTGCAGGGAGGCGAGGAGAAGGAAGGAAGGGGGGGGACATGTGGGAGAGGGGTAAACTGGGGGAAAGGGATGGGGGGAATGAGGGGGAAATGACAACGCCAAGGAGGGAAGAGTGGGCGTGTTGCAACGAAGCAGCAAGTCTTGATAGCTTGAGCGTAGCGACATCACACCCCACGGTCCACGCCCCGTCCCCTTTCCCGGTACCCATCCCTCTTTCCCTTCATCCCCCCCAACCCTCTTCCTCTCGCCCCAGGCACCTCCCCTCGCCCCACCCACCTGTAGTTGGGCACGAGAGTCGAGGAAGAGAGTGGAGGGCGACACACCTCGGAACACCACCCCGTCCTGCTGGGCACGCGGGCAGGCAGGGAGAGAAACACGTGAAGAAATGCTGATCCGCTCCGCAACAACAGTACAAGGGATTTTCCACACGAGCCTTTTTATGTCAAGGGGATAGGAACGTATGAGAACAAGATGGAAGCAGAACAAGAATTGGGACATGCGATGCGAGTCGACGCAAGTCAAACCAGGTCAACTCACCCGGTGCATCAGCTCCATTGCAACAACAAGACCCGCCGCCACAAACCGGGCCGCATCCTCCGGCAGTGGCGGGAAAACGTCGGGCCCTGCCTGCCCGCCTGCTCCCTCCCTGCCGCCCATGACCAGCGCCAGCGGCGTGCTGAGCTGGCAGTCCAGCAGCAGGCCCACAGAGGCATGGTCGGTGTACGGCGTGATGACAGGTGGCACAAACGGATTGGCCGAGAGGGTTTCGAAGAGATTGCGCTCCCGATGGACCTGAAAGGGTGTGAAAGAGAGGGCAGGGAGGGATGGGAGAGAGTGAGATGGACGGGGGGAGTACGGGATGGGGGGAGTACGGGATGGGGGGAGTGAGGGATGGGGGGAGTGAGGGATGGGGGGAGTGAGGGATGGGGGGAGTGAGGGATTGGGGGAGTGAGGGATGGGGGGAGTGAGGGATGGGGGGAGTGAGGGATGAGGGGAGTGAGGGATGGGGGGAGTGAGGGATGGGGGGAGTGAGGGATGGGGGGAGTGAGGGATGGGGGGAGTGAGGGATGGGGGGAGTGAGGGATGGGGGGAGTGAGGGATGGGGGGAGTGAGGGATGGGGGGAGTGAGGGATGGGGGAGTGAGGGATGGGGGGAGTGAGGGATGGGGGAGTGAGGGATGGGGGAGTGAGGGATGGGGGAGTGAGGGATGGGGGAGTGAGGGATAGGGGAGTGAGAGAGGGGAGCTGGGTGTGTATGAAGTGACGCATTTTCTTTAATTCCTCAATTACCCCATCAAGGGGATTTGCGAGCGGGATTGGGAAGTGAATAGCACACCCGCTGAGGTGCAAGCAAACCTTTTACAAAACTTGGGTGCAGTGCAACCCACGCATCAAGTCTATAGCCCCAGTGAGGTGAGAGCGAGCGCACCTGCTTGCCTCGCCCGTGCAGCCCCACACGCGTCTTGCCGAAGCGGCGCATGGCAAACACCCTCCCCACGTTCTGCACCCGCAGCTGCACCACCTCGCTCCACTCGTTAGCCGCTAGCACGTCCTGCCACTCCTGTTGCTCAGAGGGAAGGGGCCGAGGGGGGTTATAAGGGGGGCCAGGGGGGTTATAAGGGGGGCGAGGGGATGGATAGGGTTGAGGAGGGTAGTGCAAGTAGCATGTGCAGTGCAGCTGCATCATCTCACTCCTCTCGTTGCTCGCCAGCACATTCTGGCACTCCTGTCTCCGAGGAGGGGACGAGAGGGAGTGGCGAGGTGCACAGATGGTGAGCAGAAGGAAGGAGGGGGAGCATAAGGATGGAGGATGAGGAAGGTGGGTAAGGGGAGCAGCGACACAGTGGCAGGCAACAACTCCCACCACTCACCGCCTCGCACCATCTCACACCACCTCAAACCACCTCACACCACTCACTCACCACTTCAGCCGCCACGATCCCCTCCAGGATCTGCCTCATCTCGTCTCCCTGCCTCTTTGCCGCCAGGGCCTCCTGGAACCGGCACCACTCTGCATCCACCCGCACCGCATCGCTCAGCGGCCCCACAGCTGCTTCGAACTTGTCTCTGTCGATCGCCCAGCACTGCACCTGCCCCCTCGCCACCGCCTTCCTTGGCCCCTCCGTCCACCCTTTCCTCTTCGCTTCCCCCTCCTGCCTTCCGTCATCCTGCTGCTTCCCTTGCTGCTCGTTCTCCTCTACCTCCCCGCCTTCCACGCCTGCAGCTGCCTGTGTGTCTGCACCCGCAGGCCTCGTGCCCTCATCGCCCCCATCCAACAAACACGCCTCGTTAAAATACTGCAAACCCGTCTCCGCATCACCCTCACTCTTCCTCTCCCCCTCGCCCTCCCCATCCTCCTCCTTTCCCCCATCTGCCCCACCCTTCACCAACAACCGCCCCTCCTGCACCACATACACCGTGCCCCCTTCCATCTCCAGCCCATCCCCATCGTTCAGCTCAAGGGTAAGCAGGAAGAGCGCGAGGCGCTGCAGCTGGCCGAAGGAGAGGGGGGAGAGGAAGGGCAGGGAGCGCAGGAGGCGCAGCAGGCGGGGCGGAGGGCCCATCTCCGCGGACCCTGCCACGAGCCCCAGCGTCTGCACCTTCTGGAACAGCGCCCGCTGCAGGAACCACAACACGCCGCGCGACGCCGCCCGCACCGACGCTTCCCTCCTTGTCCCGTACCTGGAAGTTGGGGGAGGTTGTGGGGGGGGGGAGGAGAAGGGAAGGAGTGGAAGGGTGGAAGAATCGGAGGACGGAGTAGTGAGTTGCATGACTCACCTGCAATTCTGCGGGACAAGTATAGCACAAAAACACACAATACAAACATGGCAATGCAGCAGTGCTTACATCAGTGCGAGATCCCCAAAGCTGGGCATGTGCTTGTCGTTGGCAATGTAGCGATGCACCACCACTCCTAGAGGGTC